TTCAATAGCAGTTGTCTGTAAAACCCTGCATCTTGATTTTAGGAGTTGTACTCATACGCAATAGACTCTTCATTATACTACAGTGACATCTAGTGAATGTTTTTGGGAGAGCAACAGCACAGATATCACATTCCCAAGAGCTGCAGAGAAATCCAGAAAAATACAGCATACTTTCCTATAGTCTACTATTCTACATTTTATCTTAATCGTGGAAATGAATATGTATTTGTTCCAATGACTGTGCCGGAAGCACAAGCATACTTGCCAAGCTGTTCCCCATCAAATTGTAACATTTAATCGAAACAGATTCTAGGCCCATTTATAGGGATATAGTCTGAGACAGATATGAAAACAACAAGCAGTCTATTAAAGGCTCAAGGTTTAGGTTTGCTTGTATAGTAGTAGGTAACAGTACAAAAGACATTGACACAAGTACACAAATGGATTCTTAGATATTTGCTCCTTTCTTAAGTGCAACAGTGCTTTCACAGGACTAGACACAGTGGGGAGAACAAGTATTTGATACACTGCCGATTTTGCAGGTTTTCCTACTTACAAAGCATGTAGAGGTCTGTAATTTTTATCATAGGTACACTTCAACTGTGAGAGACGGAATCTAAAACAAAAATCCAGAAAATCACATTGTATGATTTTTAAGTAATTCATTTGCATTTTATTGCATGACATAAGTATTTGATACATCAGAAAAGCAGAACTTAATATTTGGTACAGAAACCTTTGTTTGCAATTACAGAGATCATACGTTTCCTGTAGGTCTTGACCAGGTTTGCACACACTGCAGCAGGGATTTTGGCCCACTCCTCCTTACCTTCTCCAGATCCTTCAGGTTTTGGGGCTGTCGCTGGGCAATACGGACTTTCAGCTCCATCCAAAGATTTTCTATTGGGTTCAGGTCCGGAGACTGGCTAGGCCACTCCAGGACCTTGAGATGCTTCTTACAGAGCCACTCCTTAGTTGCCCTGGCTGTGTGTTTCGGGTCGTTGTCATGCTGGAAGACCCAGCCACGACCCATCTTCAATGCTCTTACTGAGGGAAGGAGGTTGTTGGCCAAGATCTCGCGATACATGGCCCCATCCATCCTCCCCTCAATACGGTGCAGTCGTCCTGTCCCCTTTGCAGAAAAGCATCCCCAAATAATTATGTTTCCACCTCCATGCTTCCCGGTTGGGATGGTGTTCTTGGGGTTGTACTCATCCTTCTTCTTCCTCCAAACACAGCGAGTGGAGTTTAGACCAAAAAGCTATATTTTTGTCTCATCAGACCACATGACCTTCTCCCATTCCTCCTCTGGATCATCGGCAAACTTCAGACGGGCCTGGACATGCGCTGGCTTGAGCAGGGGGACCTTGCGTGTGCTGCAGGATTTTAATCCATGACGGCATTGTGTGTTACTAATGGTTTTCTTTGAGACTGTGGTCCCAGCTCTCTTCAGGTCATTGACCAGGTCCTGCCGTGTAGTTCTGGGCTGATCCCTCACCTTCCTCATGATCATTGATGCCCCACGAGGTGAGATCTTGCATGGAGCCCCAGACCGAGGGTGATTGACCGTCATCTTGAACTTCTTCCATTTTCTAATAATTGCGCCAACAGTTGTTGCCTTCTCACCAAGCTGCTTGCCTATTGTCCTGTAGCCCATCCCAGCCTTGTGCAGGTCTACAATTTTATCCCTGATGTCCATACCTAGCTCTCTGGTCTTGGCCATTGTGGAGAGGTTGGAGTCTGTTTGATTGAGTGTGTGGACAGGTGTCTTTTATACAGGTAACGAGTTCAAACAGGTGCAGTTAATACAGGTAATGAGTGGAGAACAGGAGGGCTTCTTAAAGAAAAACTAACAGGTCTGTGAGAGCCGGAATTCTTACTTCTTACTGGTTGGTAGGTGATCAAATACTTATGTCATGCAATAAAATGTAAATTAATTACTTAAAAATCATACAATGTGATTTTCTGGATTTTTGTTTTAGATTCCGTCTCTCACAGTTGAAGTGTACCTATGATAAAAAATTACAGACCTCTACATGCTTTGTAAGTAGGAAAACCTGCAAAATCGGCAGTGTATCAAATACTTGTTCTCCCCACTGTATGTTGCTGACAGTTACACAAAACGGACAAAAAACTATTACGGACAAAAAACAATTACAAACAATGCTTCATGAAAGAAAATAAAGAACACTTAGCCACTGCATTCAAACATAAATAGTAACTATTTTTGAAATACAAATATAATTAACAAAAATATAAATGCAACATGTAAAGTGTCATGAACCCTGCATCCTGAGTCGGTTCCTGCCTGTGTTGTCATTTTTCTGCTCGGAATCTCCAGTTTCCTGAGGGTTCTGGAACGCTCCCTGCCTGGTTGCCGGGCGACGTTGCTAGGCGGGAGCTCTCCTGATTAACCGCACCTGCATCCCATCAGCGATCTGCACACCTGGTCCTGATCATCACCCTTTTTAAGCTCTGACCTGACGTCCATTCCCTGCCGGATCGTTAGCCATGAACAGTATGTTTGTCAGTGTATCAGCCTTGGAGCTTCTAGCGTTAGTTTTGTTGTTTTGCACCTTGTTGGCTTGCTGTGTACTTACCTCCGTTTTGTTCTATCTGCAGTCACTCACCCGGAACCTTCACCCAACCCCTGCCTGGTGGTCGGCGGCTGCCGAGCCATTATTGGACCTGCCACTGCACCCCCACCAACTCATCTCCGCCGCCCGCTCTGTTCCCTGGATTATTCAGCATCGCTTTTGAATCTGTTAAATAAATACTCACCTTCGTTTCAACTCACCTTGTCCTGGTCTGCTTCTGGGTTCTGGCTTTGTAACCCGTGACAAAAGTGTTGGTCCCATGTTTCATGAGCTGAAATAAAAGATCCCAGAAATGTTCCATATGCACAAAAAGCATATCTCTCAAATTTTGTGCAGAAATTTGTTTACATCTCTGTTAGTGAGCGTTTGTCCTTCGCCAAGATAATCCATCCACCTGACAGGTGTGGCATATCAAGAAGCTGATTAAACAGCATGATATTTACACAGGTGCACCTTGTGCTGGGGACAATAAAAGGGCACTCTAAAATGTGCAGTTTTGTCACACAACACAATACCGCAGATGTCTCAAGTTGAGGGAGTTTGCAATTGTCATGCTGACTGCAGGATTGTCCACCAGAGCTGTTGCCAGAAAATGTCACGTTTATTTCTCTACCATAAGCCGCCTCCATCTTCGTTTTAGAGAATTTGGCTGTATGTCCAACCGCAGACCACATGTATGGCGTTGTGTGGGCGAGCGGTTTGCTGATGTCAATGTTGTGAACAGAGTGCCCCATGGTGGCGGTGGGATTATGGTATTGGCAGGCATAAGCTACGGACAACAAACACAATAGAATTTTATCAATGGCAATTTGAATGCACAGAGATACCGTGACAAGATCCTGAGGCCAATTGTCGTGCCATTTATCCGCCGCCATCACCTCATGTTTCAACATGATAATGCACGGCCCCATGTCGCAAGGATCTGTACACAATTCCTGGAAGCTGAACATTTCCCAGTTCTTCCATGGCCTGCATACTGACCAGACATGTCACACATTGAGCATGTTTAAGGATGCTCTGGATCGATGTGTACGACAGCGTGTTCCAGTTCCCGTCAATATCCACCAACTTCTCACAGCCATTGAAGAGGAGTAGGACAACATTCCACAGGCCACAATCAACAGCATGATCAACTCTATGCACGAGGCAAATGGTGGTCACACCAGATACTGACTGGTTTTCTGATCCACACACGCTATAAAAAAAAAAAGGTACCTGTGAACAACAGATGCATCTGTAAACCCCCTTCCCCCCTCCAATTTGCCAGTTACCCACGGATATGTATAAAAGGGGCCTGCAAGAAAGTGGTAAATAAGAGGGCTGTTTGAAAGGGAGTCATGTAAACATTGCCTGATATTTTTAACAGGTATTATAAACTGGGTGGTTCGAGCTCTGAATGCTGATTGGCTAAAAGCTGTGGTATATTTAAGCAATAAGGCCAGAGGGGGTGTGGTATATGGCCAATATACCACGGCTAAGGGCTGTTCTTTGCTCGATGCAACGCGGAGTGCTAGGACACAGCCCTTAGCTGTGGTATATTGGCCATATATCACAAACCCCCGAGGTGCCTTATTGCTATTATAAACTGGTTACCAACCTAATTAGAGCAGTACAAATAAAAGTTTTTTCATACCCATGCTATACAGTCTGATATACATTTACATTTACATCATTTAGCAGACGCTCTTATCCAGAGCGACTTACAAATTGGTGCATTCAACTTATGATAGCAAGTGGGACAAGCACTTTTTTTCTTCTTCTTTTTTATGGGGGGGGGGGGGGGGGGGTAGAAGGATTGCTTTATACTATTCCAGGTATTCCTTAAAGAGGTAGGGTTTCAAGTGTCTCCGGAAGGTGGTCAGTGACTCCGCTGTCCTGGCGTCGTGGGGGAGCTTGTTCCACCATTGGGGTGCCAGAGCAGCGAGCCACCTATACCACGGGTATGACAAAACATTAATTTTTACTGCTCTAATTACATTGGTAACCATTTTATAATAGCAATTAAGGCACCTCGGGTTTGATTAGCCCTTAGCCGTGTTATATTGGCCATATACCACAAACCACCTCGTGCCTTATTGCTTAAATATACCACATCTTCTGTCTGAAATGTGTATGTTGTGTGTTTGTTCACATACTTTAATGGAATCCGCAGACATCGAATGATACCTCTTTTTTATCCTGGATAAACAGACCACGGCGTATAGAGTTGTTAAATAATGATTTACGGTAGCTGTGTAATTTGGGGAAAGTGGCGGTTGATTATCCTACAGTCCGGTACTGACTCATGAACTAGCTAGCTAGCTATTAACTTACATTTCAGACCAGTCGGACATCGAAAGGTGAAACGGGATTGGCTACTTCTTTGGTCACATGCTACTTTCGTCCAATTAGCTTTTAGAATTTGCTGTTCAGCTGTGTGTAGTCATCTCTGCTCCTCGGCGAGAGAGTTGGAGTGAAGCGTTACTGAATTGGTAAGTCTAGAAGTAGGTTTCATATGTTGTGTTTTATAACGATGCATATTATATTCAGATTTATGAAATTAATACTACCGTCCCTATGAACATGAATTTAGCAACTATATTACCGGTGACATTCATTTTGCGAATTATGTGTCGCAAGCTAACGTTAGCCTAGCAGCCCTCTTTGTTCAGAACAGAAGACTTCCTCAGCTCGAACCACAAGCAAGGCAGCATGCTAGTTACCTTACGTTATATTATGGAGAAAAATATTTATATATAGGTACGTGGCTAGGAATTGAAAGCAAATGCATGATTTTGTCCATCGTTCATATGTTTTTAGATTGCCTACGTAGTTATGCCTATGGCTTCAGTGAAAGTGCTAGTCAACCTTAGTTAGCTAGATAACGTTAGCGACAATGCGAGGACACGACCATCTTGGCTAGCCACGCTAGTTAGTTCATCTCATGAAACGTTATCTAGCTGGCTATTTATCACAATATCATGGCGATCACCTATGGCATTTACATGTAACTGTCTAGCTAGACCCACATATAGTTAACTGTCTAATCGTGGTGTGAGTAGTGCAGGGGGCATTTTCCATACTGGCGCACTGAATTGAGGCTTGAAATTAAAATGGCGTCTGAAATGATTCTCTTAGCCAGCAGATCCTACCCACTTGGTTACAGCTGCACTAGGGTCAGACAGCCTTCCAGTGTAGATTAAGACACCACAGAGCCTGCGCAAGACATTGCTCGGAAAACTAGGGATCAGACATGTGTATGCCGAATTGTCGCATTATTGAACAAAGGGTAGATTTTCCAGAAAACTTACATTTTCTTCCTCATGCTAGGTAGCGTAAGCAACAGCAGCCATTTTGGGATATCAGTGTCAGCCAATCGGCTCCTTTGTTGTTCAACGTGACATACCATTCCATAATGGCTACTGCTAGCTAGCATGAGGACAAACATCAGTTTACTTAAAATCAAGCAGTCATTCAATCTTCTTGGTTTAACAGTTGGGATAATGGGACAATTTGGAGTACAACGAGTTATCATCCCTGGATTGAGGTATGTTTTCCCAAGCCATATCTCGGGCCGGGCCCGCAGTGTCTTAATCTACACAGGAAGCCTGTCCGACCCTAGTGCCACTGTAAGCAAGCGGGTCGGATCTACTGGCTAGGCCCTGGGTAGACAATAGTCTGATTAATCAGGCAGTAATACACACTTAATTGGTGTATATACAGCCTGATACATTTCTGTGCAAAACCAAGTGTTCCTTACAAGCCAGAATGTTTAGTACATTTAGTCTACATTTAAACTTTACCGCTTGTCTGTGTGCTTTGTCCTTCAGCTGCTTGAAATTTGAAACAATATCAACAGGAAAGTATTGTTTACCCAACTTTTTAGAGAGCTGTAGGTATATGGTATGTTCAGCACCTATGTAAAGTTAGTTTTATATTTGTTATTTGGTTTGCTGTCGTCAACAGGGTTCGCACAAGGTGCTTGAGGTACTTGAACTTGAAGTACTGCAATACCTTCAAAATCAGACATTTTCTCAAGTTGGTACTTGAAAAGTACTTGAATTAAAATGAGAGGAGAACAACAAATTATCAAATATGTTTATGAAAAACCAAAATGGCAGGAACATTTCGATTCATTCCTGCCTTTTGTGCGTATGGAACATTTCTGGGATCTTTTATTTCAGTTCATGAAACATGGGACCAACACTTTACATGTTGCGTTTTTATATTTTTGTTCATTGTAGTTTACCCACCTTTTTTTTACCACTACATCACTGGACCCAAACCAACCCATACTGTGTAAAGTGCATAAAATGCATCAGACTTTGACGTTGTGAGCATGGGGGAATCAGCCCTGAAGAGCCACATGAAGGCAGAAAGACACAATGCTGCATCCTGCGCTGGCGCCAGTTCTACGTGGACTTTTCCCTCTGCAGCAACCTCCAGAGCTTTTTTGACACTCGCCTCATTCACGGGGCACCATTCTGGTGGCCGTTCACATACCGTTTTCCTCACACAGCCCTCCTGACCAACGACACAAAAGCTGCCAGTCAATAGCTACAAAAAAGTGTCTTGCTTCTAATTAGTAGATTCCCAAATGCCCAATGAAAATACAATACAGCCATTAAGTTGGAATTGTGTAGTAAATTATGCCAATAGGAAATGTGTGTTCACCAGTAGGCATGTCCCAAAACTCTGCTCATCGCTACTCAAGTTACTTCAGTACTCACTTACCACTCATGTATGTAGTGAAACAACATTGAGTAGAACTTGTAAGGTAGTGATGAATAGTAAGTTGTTTTTTTCATGAGGTTGTGGCGAGATACTACAATCTGGTGGCGACAAGAAACAATTGCATAATAGGAACTATTACAGATTGAGGGTCCTTGAAAATAAAATTAGTACTTGAAAGTCCTTGAATTTGACTTTCCGCTGTCTGTACGAACCCTGTATCAATAGCTATTGAACCAAGCATGCCATGAAAATGGTATATGCTGAATCGGGGGAGGATGGAAAACAATCACAACCTTTTTGTGAGAATTTTATATTTGTTTTTATTCTGATCTCTAATAAATCCAAAATGTCCCAGTCTGTTTCTGCCATAGCTTCCCTAGTAATGTAATAAGTGCCAGAATAGTATGATAATGGCAGCCATTTTGGTCAGGGAGAAATCCAAACCAGTAAGTTCTCAGTACCGTTGTCTTCTTTACTCCCATCGCTAGTTGTAGGGGGAATGTTTGAATTTAGAAAATGTTCCTTAAATTAAATCCATTGTTGCTCCATGAGATAATCCAATAATGTATACGCCGCCATTTTAGAGTATCTTTGTCTTCTGTCATTGATCAAAGCAGGCGAGTGTCATTCAAAGCAACACTTTATTTCCTAGTCGCTCATATGACGTGCAGAACTTTTTGGTGGACACCCACCTGTCTTGAACAATGAGAAACAAAAATAGTCTACGGTGGCGGCGTATACATTATTGGATTACCTCACTGAGCAAAAATTAACTTCATTTAATAACGGCACATTTTCTCAATTCAAATTTTTCTCCTGCAACTAGAGATGGGTTTGGAGAAGACTATGGTAAGTTGAGAATTGAGGATGTTATCGCAGTATAAAGGTTAGTTGAAAAATTGCTCCTGGCGCTTTTCACAAGCTAAGGTGTAACGGCTGTATGGAAGCATTCACATATCGCCGCCGTTACAATGTGTGGCTAGTTTCCTGAATGGAGGGATTTAACACTTGATAGAAATTGTCAGTTTGGTTGTGTGCATTGGATGACTTCTCAGCCAGGTTTGCTGTCAGAACTGAGCGGGTCAAGCCGTGGTGGACTGCCAGTTTCTAATTAGTGTCAACTGCAATGAACCATTCTTAGATTTTAACTGCAGGGCATTCGTGTTAAATCAATTCAGGCTTTGGGACTGCATGTACAGCAGGTCTGTCTGGTTACTGATATGCTTTACCACATCATTCCGAACTGTACGCTGGCTCTGAAATGTTCATTTCACACTCACGGCTGACTGAAGAAGCATGTTTTTAGGTCGGCATTGCTCTCCGTGAGTCATACTGGTATACAGGGGCAGTAGCCCAATGTATCTTCCTTGGTAAAGCTATGTTTTAGTTACTAACATATCTGCTCCTGTAGAACTGATTCATAATCAAACTGAGTGAATCAGTGTTATGAAAGTAGGTTTTGTTGATGCCCCGAAGGATTGTGCTACAGTTGTGTCCTTGCTCTGGCACTGCTTCAGCCCTGGTCCAACTTTTCCTATCTTTATTTTTGGGAGGAGGAATGTGACTGGTGTCCTGCTTATCATCTGTAGGCCTACTTTCGTCCCAAACTGAGACAAGTTGACAATGATGAAGCTGCCCATTGAAATCAGCAATATTGATATTGGATCACTTTTGGCGCTGAGTTTTATACAGTGAGGCTCAACATGGGAGAAAGATTTTGACGCAGAGGCGCAACCATGTCCAAAAACAATGCTCATTGTCATACCCCCCCCCCCCCCCTTTTTTTTTTTTTTAGAGCCTACCGAACACAACCCAAGTTTGCAACAGGCTGCAGTAAGAACAACCTTGTTGCTGCTGGATCAGCACATTCAGCCTATGGGCAATTCCATTGTATTGGAGTTATGCTGAGACTCCTACTGTGTAAATTGTTTAAAGCAGTCATTGTGCATAGGCTGGTTTGTAAAACTTGGTTTGTAAAACTTAGAAATCAATGGTGTTTGTTTGGTATACATTTTAAAGTGAAAAATCAGTCTCCGTGTGATTCAGGATAACAACCTCTCCCTCAACGTGATCAAGACAAATGAGATGATTGTGGACTACAGATAAAAAAAAGAGGACTGAGCACGCCCCCATTATCATCGACGGGGCTGTAGTGGAACAGGTTGAGAGCTTCAAGTTCCTTGGTGTCCACATCACCAACAAACTTATCATGGTCCAAACACACCAAGACAGTCGTGAAGAGGGCATGACAAAGCCTATTCCCCCTCAGGAGACTGAAAAGATTTGGCACAGGTCCTCAGATCCTCAAAAAGTTATACAGCTGCACCATCGAGAGCATCCTAACTGGTTGCATCACCGCCTGGTATGGCAACTGCTCGGCCTCCGACCACAAGGCACTACAGAGGGTAGTTCGTACGGCCCAGTACATCACTGGGGCCAAGCTTCCTGCCATCCAGGACCTCTATACCAGGCGGTCAGAGGAAGGCCAGAGGAAGGCCCTAAAACCAGAGGAAGACCTCTATACCAACAGTCAGAGGAAGGCCCTAAAAATTGTCAGACTCCAGCCACCCTAGTCATAGACTGTTCTCTCTGCTACCGCACGGCAAGCGGTACCAGAGCGCCAAGTCTAGGTCCAAAAGGCTTCTTAACAGCTTCTACCCCCAAGCCATAAGACTCCTGAATAGCTAATCATGGCTACCCGGACTATTTGCATTGCCCCCCCCACCCCACCCCAACCCCCTCTTTTACGCTGCTGCTACTCTGTTTATTATTTATGCATAGTCACTTTAACTCTACCCACGTGTACATATTACCTCGACTAACCGGTGCCCCCGCACATTGATTCTGTACCGGTACCCACTGTATATAACCTCCCTACTGTTATTTTATTTTACTGCTGCTCTTTAATTATTTGCTATTAAAAAAAAATCTTAAACTGCATTGTTGGTTAAGGGCTTGTAAGTAAGCATTTCACTGTAATGTCTACACCTGTTGTATTCGGCGCATGTGGCAAATAGAATTTCATTTGATTCCGTTAGCTTGGAATTTCCCCTCTTGTCATGCAAAGCCACCCTTCACTTTAGTAAGGAGCATCCTTAGGTATTTCTTTGAACAGACCAATGTTCTGTTACCCTTAAATACCATGTTTTTATATTATCAAAAATCACGTCTGCTGTTCCAGGGAAATCTGGCATTTTATTGCTTTGCTCACTTTTAAACGTGTCCCTTTGTTCTCAGCAGAACCAAGGAGCAGTGTTGGTGTTCTGTCTCAGGAAGACCTGTCCTTGTATCACTGCCATATACACACGATTCGAAGACTCCAAAGCAACTATGGTACCTCTTTTCTTATACACTCATTTTAAGGAACGTTTAGGCTGTTTTGTGCAATCAGTTTCTATTTGGTAGTGAACATGGAGCACTTTAATTTTACTAGCCTCACCACTATAATCATTTGCCTCTGCAAACAATCAGCTGTATTTGTCTGACACAAATAATCTTCTAAATCAATTATAAGTTAACAAGGACACGGCGGCATTAAATAATTGCAAAGCTGTAGCGCCATACAAGTAGACCTAAAAAAAATCATTTCCATCAAATGTCAATTGTAAGGGTAATTCAGGTTGCTGCCAGACAGAACTGCCTTGGGTATTTGGAACACATGCTCCTGCTTACACTTGATTGCGCTCCTCTAATTGGGCACAGCTCTCACCCAGCAGTAGTCCCCAGATACTTATGTAAGGACAGTGAAAGCTGACTAAGGGAAATAATCCTTGTTAGTCATTACTGTATTTTGAGAATTACAGTGGGGTGAAGGTTATCACATTATGACTGTTTCTTCCTATCAAAGCCTCTTACTGACTATAATTGTGACCTGCTGAAGTCAATTCCTTAAAATAACTCTCCTCTGTTCCCGTCCAGCCTCCTCCCCTGCGCCACCGCTCCATGCGTATCTTCATGAACGACGACCGCCACGTGATGGCCAAGCACTCCGCTGTGTACCCCACACAGGAGGAGCTGGAGGGTGTGCAGAACATGGTGTCCCACACGGAGCGCGCCCTCAAGGCTGTCTCCGACTGGCTGGATGAGCAGGAGAAGGTGGTCAAGTCTGAGCCAGACGGAACAGAGTCCGATAAAGAAAGGTAATGGAGGGGGAAATTGTATTCCAAATGGTGCATGGTGTACAAAATGTCAGTTGCACCATCATGGCTGGGGTGTTGTTGGTGAAGGCAGCATCACTTTCAGCTTTGAGTTTCAAAAGTAATTGACCTGAGTACCCATGTCTCCTCTCCTTTGTCAGTGAGCCCAAGGCGTCGGAGCAGGCCACACGGTCCCTGCGTGGGGTGATGAGGGTGGGCCTGGTGGCCAAGGGCCTGCTGCTGAAGGGGGACCTGGACCTGGAGCTGGTGCTTCTGTGTAAGGACAAGCCCACCATCACCCTGCTGAAGAACGTGGCAGACAACCTGGCTGTGCAACTCAAGGTGAGTCCATTCACCTACTGGTGTTTTCTGTGTATTAATATTCAGAGTTGGCTTTGTGAAGTTGAATTGATTATTTTAATATTATATTCTCCTGCATCATTTCTGTTGTGGGGTGATTAATGAGTTTGGGAGGAATAGTCACAACTGAATTCAGTGGCAAATAGTTATTTTTTTATACTTGGGTGTACATGACCTTGTCTGCTTGGCGGGATAGCCACAACATGGCTATTGTATTAACAATCCCTCCTGTTCTACCTGGCAGACCATCACAGAGGACAAGTATGAGGTCACTCAGGTCATCCGTGAAGCCACCATCGTGATCAAGAGCACCAAGGAGCCTCCCCTGACCCTGACTATCAACATGACGTCCCCCCTGGTCCGCGAGGAGGTGGAGAAACAGGCTGCCGGAGGTAGGCTGCCACACAGGGGCAGAAGGTTCACTAGCGCCCCCTTAGGCAGGGAGACTAAATAGGCAGGCAGCCAGTCTAGACAGATATTGTTTATTGGGCCTTCAATGGAGCTAGGGGATGTGAGGGAACTGTCATGTAATGAAAACATGCTATGTTTATAGCTCTTTAGACTCTCGTAGTTCCATGTAATGTGATGTACATTTTTGATGGCCCAATACACAGTATAGAAAGGTTTTCTATTCCCTATGGAGTCCAGACATGAACTATATGAAGGCTTACTGAGAATAACAAAAAACAAACACCACTTTGTTTGCATGTTTTCTACTGAACAATGATGAACGGTTTGCATTGCAGCAAAAATGAGTTGCAAAGTGTTGTCAACTGTTCTGGTTACTAGACCCAGCAGTGTGCTATTGACTGATGTTCATCAGCAGGGAGGACACGGGTTACAGATAACGCCAGGGGCTTTTTGACTCTGCATGGCTGAATGTCACTTCACCCAGTCACAGTCAAAATCAGGGGACAACTGTGATCGCAGTCTTCGTAAATCCAATCCATGGGGGTTGCTCTTTGGTTTGTCCGAAGCAGAGGGAGTCGTCAGTTCAATAATAAATGCAAGAAATGCCTACAGTGCCTTCTGTAATTATTGGCACAGTGAAGCATTTTCTTCTTTTGGCTCTATACTTCAGAAGTTTGGATTTGAAATCAATGACCGTGAGGTAAAAGTGCAGACTGTCAGCTTTAATTTGAGGATATTTTCATCCATATCGGTGAACCATTAAAAGTACATCACTTTTTGTACATAGTCCTCCCCCCCACACACACACACATTTTAGGGGACCAAAAGTATTGGGAGAAATTCACTTGTGTATTAAAGCAGTCAAAAGTTTAGTATTTGGTCCCATATTCCTAGCACGCAATGACTACATCAAGCTTGTGACTTCTACATTAATGTGGATGCTACCGTGATTACGGATAGTCCTGAATGAATCGTGAATAATTATTTGAGAAGTTACTCACATATCATACCACCCCAAAAATGCTAACCTCCCCTGTTATTGTAAGAGGTTAGCATGTCTTAGATGCGTATATATCATATTCCCAACTTTCTCACTCATCATTATTCACGATTCATTCAGGATAATCCGTAATCATGGTAGCATCCACATAAATGTAGAAGTGTTTAGAAACGTATTCTATTATTTACAATAAAGGTTACTCCAAAATGACACACTACATTATTTACAAATAATTTCTATTGGGCACAAAATAATCTGAAACACAACCAAAACAAACAGCAAATGCATCCAACAAATTTGTAGAGTCACAAGCTTGATGTAGTCATTGCATGCTATGAATATGGGACCAAATACTAAACTTTTGACTGCTTTAATATACATATACACTGTAAGTGAATTTGTCCCAATACTTTCGCTCCGCTAAAATGGAGGGACTATGTACAAAAAGTGCTGTAATTTCTAAACGGTTCACCTGATATAGATGAAAATACCCTCAAATTAAAGCTGCACTTTAACCTCATAGTCATTGTTTGATTTCAAATCCAAACTTTTGGAGTGTAGAGCCAAAAGGAGACAAAATGCTTCACTTTCCCAATAATTACGGAGGGCACTATATATTATGGGAAAGGGTAATAGTCAGTGGCGGCCCATGTTCCTCTCAGACGTTCTAAACAGGGAGTTGGATGTACCCACCAGGCATCAACCTAGCCTTATCTATAACTGTGTCAACATTGAAGGCCATCAGTTTTGCTGCAGTGTGGACTTGTTTTGATAATTTTGTGCATCTGATTCTCTCTGTCAAGCCTTCTAGTTTGTCAATTTTTAGGGACGCTGGACCTTTGACCAACTGGACGCTCTCTGTCTCGGAAGGGGCTAAGCAGTACACCCAGTAAAGGGGTGAAGGGGAGGGGCTCTACCTCTCATTGTGATAGCAAAGCACTCAGACTTCATAACTGGACTGAGGCATACGAGTTGACATTGAGTTAACATAATGGAGACAACCTCCCTTTTGATAATTTACTCCCACTGTAATCTTACATCATACACATTTTTCTCCATATAGTCCTACCGGGAGTGATCTTAAGAAATCACCCACTTAACAGCAGTTTCTGAAGTGGGTTGAAGTTACATGTCTTTAGTGTAATTGCAGTTTCACTGGGAGGTTCAGACCATTAGTTCTCCAGGTGGGGGGGTCCCCCTCCCCTTCCCCGTCCTGCCTGTGGTTTGGGAAAGCTGCCTGCTCCCCCTGGCCGTGTGACAGAACCCCCCTTGGTCAAACTGTACCTTGTCTTCTTATTCCACCCGCCAATAGAAACGCTATCAGTCAACGATCCCCCGGATGTTCTGGACAGGCAGAAATGCCTTACTGCCTTGGCGTCTCTTCGCCACGCCAAGTGGTTCCAGGTTTGCATCTTGTCTTTATTTGTCTTAAAGTAGTTGAGTTTTTTTCATTTGACGCAGTTTCTTTCTTTGGTCGTTTTCTGTGTTTTTATTTAGTTTTAAATGTCCTTTCGAAGTGTATCTATCACCTGTAGTAGACTTCTTACTTTGTGGTTTTTATAGCGTTTCCAAGGAAACCTTTGTCATTACCTTGTAGAGCTGCTCTGCTGACTTAACAGGTTTGATTGCAGTGTCATTGAAAATGTTCAATGCTGCTTTTAGAAAGGACGTTCAACAATCCCCTCAAAGCAACCATTGTCTTAATTTTGATCACAGATGTGGAACTAACTGGCTACACTCGGGTGCAATATTTCTCAAATATTATCAGTCAATCTATCAATCGACAACCCTTTTCTGTACCATCATATTGTGTTGAGGTTGATTCCTCGTTGTGGACTACGTTGATTCTTAGTCATCATAGTGAACTGTCTCTCGCTCTTAACTGTAAGCGCTCCATCTCTGCAGCCTGTTCTTGTAGAGTGTGTAGCCTCCAATCCCCCATGCTCTGGCTGTTTCAGCTTTCTGTGTGCCACAAAAAAGGAATATTGCACCTTAGTTAGAAATTTACATTCACTAGTCAGTCTTCTGGGGCCTCATTTATAAACATTGCTTACGCACAAAATATGCCCCAAAACATGCGTGCGCCAGTTTTTCGCGCCAAAGTTGGCATTTATAAAAACGGAACTCTGTGTGAGAATGGGCATATTTCCTATTTCATTTACACGATCATTGCAGAATAAATTCACTTTTTCTGACAGTCGTGATTTCATAGGCTACTCGCGAAATAGCCTATAGGCCTACAACAAGTTAGTATAGGCTACCATTCTTCCCATCTCTCATTTAATTGGACTTACGTCACAGTAGTAAATAGATAAGCTATTTCAAGTATTTGCTCTGTGAGCCATTCCAAAGCGCAGTTTAACTGTAGAACAGACTCTTCACCTTTTCATTGACGTTTGTATGCTTACGTCTGAATATTGTTATATTTCATTTAGAAGCATAATACATATATCATAACCATTGCATTATACGTTTCTCAACGTTTCTGGCCATGTTAAGATGGTTGAGTTCATATTCCTGAAGTAGCCATACAACAAATTACCATGCCACATCTCTCATTTAATTGGGCCTATTAGATGGGCTATTATGTCAAGTTTTTGCTCTACACATCCAACAGGAGAATTTAACAGGTGAACAGACAGTTGATCTTTTGCATTGAAGTTTGTAGGCTACCACTATAAGTAGGCCTGTTTTAATTTTTTTCCAGAGTAGACATTGTTTCAGAATTCGCGGGCAGTGCTACATATTTAGGTTTGGAAAAAGTCAATGCAAAACATTATTGCATTCAAACTATCTGTTTACAGGTCCACAACAATTTGCAATTGTTTTTGACTTTCAGAAACGGTCAGATACAGCAAATGTCCCTGCAAAAGAAAACATTCTGCCAACACCAAAGACATTTGATCAAGTTCGCTATTGCTATTCCCTTTAGATACTGTCTTGGCCTAATTCCAATACTAGTATACAGCATATAAGGGCGTTATTGTCGGGCGTTTTTCAGGTGGAGTTATACTGCTTGTTCACGCCGGTTAACGCACACACTTTTTTTTTATGACCGGTGTGATTTATAACGGGGAAAATGCATATGTTTTGGTGTGCGGCAAGTTTGTACAAATCAATATTTTTGTGCGTGCGCAGTCTTTTCAGAAATGGTGCAGATATTTAGTGTTACATTTACGCAACGGTTATAAATGAGGCCCCTGGTGTACCCCATACAATAACCCTTAGAGCTGCTGTAAGGTATCACCACTCATTAAACTAAACAGATAGTCAAAAACTGTCCTTGTCCTACATTTTTCCATTTCAGCATTTGGCTTTACATTGACTCCCCTTCTCCCTCTAATCATTTATCAGAATCACAAGTTGAGACATTTGATACGGAGCTGCAAGAAGCACAATTGCTCAACAATCACCACTCTGACATCTGTTATGCCTATTACTGTACCACTGATCAAATCTGCTTTCTACTTCACACAAATGGAGTTGTATATTAAATTCAATAACCACATCTGCAGACAGAACAAATATCAGATTCATGCTGCACTCTTCCCATACTGTACCACAATAATGACAAAGCAGAGCCGTTAGTCTGTGTGGCTTTTTGATGTAGCTGCTTCTTTGTGTTTTCGTGAGTTCTTGTTTGACTAAGGCTCCCTCTCCCTCCTCCCCCTCCCTGCTTGTGTCTCCAGGCCAGGGCCAATGGGCTGAGGTCCTGCGTCATCGTCATCCGCATCCTGAGGGACCTGTGCTCCCGCGTCCCCACTTGGGCCCCACTGCATGGATGGGTGAGTCACCAGCAGCATTGTCTGCCAGCTGGTTCTTCTATCGCCCCCTGACTCCTGACGATTGGTTTGAGAAATGTCATCGTAAGATAGGAATTTATTTAAGGGGCTTTGTACATCAAACTGCATCGATTTCTTAATTACAGCTCGTTTTAGCCTTTTTATCCAATTTGCCAAACATCCGGACAAAATTAAACCATTAACATTTCTTCCCTTCACCCTTTATAGCCAATAGAGCTGCTGTGTGAGAAGGCAATTGGCACAGGGAACCGGCCAATGGGGGCAGGAGAGGCTCTGCGAAGAGTTTTGGAGTGTCTGGCTTCTGGAATCCTGATGGCTGGTGAGTAGTCTCAAAGAGCAGAGACGACATGCCCTTCCACCTTTGTCCCTCTGCTTAATATAGTAGTAATTCCACATCACAAGCCAAAAGATGTCATCATTTGCCTGTTTGTTTTTAGATGGTGCTGGGATCTGTGATCCATGTGAGAAGGAGCTGACCGATGCTATTGGCCACCTGGACCTCCAGCAGAGGGAGGACCTCACACAGAGTGCACAGGTGAGTCACGTCTACACCCACGACAGGGTGTGAATATGGTGGCTGTTCGCAGCAGTGAATGGAAAAAATCACCACCTGTTTCTGTTTTCAGCATGCCTTAAGGCTGTCTGCCTTTGGACAGCTTCACAAAGTGCTAGGGATGGACCCCCTTCCCTCCAAAATGCCCCGGAAACCCAGGAGCGAGACCCCCATTGACTACACAGGTAGGCCAGGCTGCAGACATGTGCATACCATTTAGTGTCCATATTTTGGAGAGGCTAAGCAGTCCCTGTGTTTTTGTTGCAGTCCAAATCCCCCCCAGTACAACCTACGCCCCACCAATGAAGAGGCCCATCGAGGAGGAGGAAGGAGGGGATGACAAAAGCCCAAACAAGAAGAAAAAGAAGCTACAAAAGAAATGTAGGTGTTGCTGACTAAGTTCTTCCTGTTCAGCACAGTTCTTCAGTGTTGGCATGCAAATTCGACTACTCTGTTTAATTTCCCCCTTGGCTTGATCAAAACAATTTATTAAAACATTTAGTAAGTGGCCAGTGTTTTTAATCCTAATATTCACTCCCCCCAGCCCCAGATGAGAAGTCGGAGCCTCCCCAGGCCATGAATGCTCTGATGCGGCTGAACCAGCTGAAGCCTGGCCTGCAGTATAAACTCCTCTCCCAGACTGGCCCGGTGCACGTACCAGTCTTCACCATGGCTGTGGAGGTGGACGGCAAGAGCTTTGAAGCCTCAGGCCCATCCAAACGCACTGCTAAGCTTCACGTTGCTGTCAAGGTGAGTGGGTGTATAGGGTAAATGGTATAGATGTTCTAAGCGTTTGGTGTTTTGTCATGAAATTGGAAGATTTAAACTATTGTCTGCTGCGCTTCACATATTTACCTTTCCAATCTTCTGCCTGGCCCAATCATAGGTCCTCCAGGACATGGGCCTCCCAACAGGTGTGGAGCTGAAGACTGCTGAGCCAGTGAAGACTGAGGAGGTGGCAAAGGCCATTGTGGAGGACGTGAAACCCTGCATCACTCCCATCGCGATGGACACCGCAGCCACAGGGGCAGACAGCGTAGAGGCCACAGACGGTGCAGAGGTATGGGTCCTCACTTTGAGTAGAACTCAACACAATGTTTTTGGACATGAGGCTCGGTTTTGATTCTAGTTTCTTGTTTTGGTCTTGTTTGCAGAGAAATTAAAATGTCTGTCTCTCTTTGTCTTAGAGTGCTCGTCAACAGGGACCAATCCTGACAAAACATGGGAAGAACCCTGTGATGGAGCTGAATGAGAAGCGACGCGGCCTCAAGTATGAGCTCATCTCAGAGACCGGAGGCAGCCACGATAAACGCTTCGTCATGGAGGTAAGTGTCTCAGGAGTGGAAGAAGTGCCCATCCACCCTGCAACCAGACTGATGCCTTTTAGGATCTATCCAGCTGCTTCAATGAACGGAGAAGTTCACTTTATATGGACCAAATCTAAATTGTATGTACATTTTATAGAGGTGTCTAGATACTTTTTTTTGTTTGTTGCGATTACACTTGGTTTTGAGAAACGTACCCCTGCATCACTATACTGAGAGCTTTGTTGTTTCTAAAAATACATTTGGGTGTTTTTGGAGCTTTGTTCATGTTTATCTGTGGCCCCCATACTGCAGAACGAGCAACAAGGAAGTCTATTGGTGGGGTACGTTTCTCAAAACAAAGTGAAATCCATAAAAAAACTTTATGGACACTAACAAATAAAGTGAACTTCTCCTTTTTAAACATTGACAACAACAAAATGAGCTTGGCTTTGACACACATTCTTGGTCCCATGCTTTATCCTGTTCTTGTCTGAGTCTGTGTATTGACCTGTCTTGTCCCCTGTTCCAGGTGGAGATAGACGAACAGAAGTTCCAAGGGACAGGCTCCAATAAGAAGGTGGCCAAGGCCTACGCTGCCTTGGCAGCCCTGGACAAACTCTTCCCAGAGGGCTCTGTGACTGAGGCAGCCAAGAAGAAGAAACTCCCAATGGTAAGATTGCCCTATGCCTTACTGTAAATCTTTGCTTGCTATTGTTTGTCAAATATATTAACTGAGTAATGATGGTTTGCTGCTGACCAGTCGGTCCATTCAGTCTTCTCGTGTTTTCTCCAACAGCATGGGTTTGGCATGATGGGTGACCCGACTGGTGACCCGGTAGCCACTCCCAGGGGCAGAGGTAGAGGGGCGTGGCAGGGGGAGGGGCCGAGGGTTCAATAATGGTGGCGGCTATGGTCAAGGTAAAACAGCTAAATTCTACCTACAGTGCCTTCAGAAAAGATTCCCACCCCTTTACTTTTTCCACATTTTGTTGTTACAGTCTGAATTTAAAATTGATTCAATTTATATTTTGTCACTGGCCTACACACAATACCCCATAATGTCAAATTTTTGAATGACTACCCCACACATAAAATTATTTGTTAGGTTCCTCAGTTGAGCAGTGAATTTCAAACACTGATTCAAACACAAAGACCAGGGAGATTTTCCAATGTCTCGCAGAGAATGCCACCTATTGGTAGATGAGTTAAAATAAAATAAAAAGCAGACATTTAATATTCCTTTGAGCATGGTGAAGTTATTAATTACACTTTGGATGGTGTATCAATAAACCCAGTCACTACAAAGATAGGCGTCCTTCTGAACTCTGTTGCCAGAGAGGAAGGAAACCACTCAGGGATTTCACCATGCGGCCAATGGTGACTTTAAAACAGTTACAGCTTAATGACTGTGATAGGAGAAAACTGAGGATGGATCAACAACATTGTAGTTACTCCACAACACTAACCTAATTGACAGTGAAAAGAAGGAAGCCTGTACAGAATAGAAAATATTCCAAAACATGCATCCTTTTTGCAACAAGGCACTAAACTAATACTGCAAAAAAGTGACAAAGCAATTCACTTTTTGTCCTGACTAAAGTGTTATGTTTGGGACAAATCCAATACAACACAATACGGAGTACCACTCCATATTTTCAAGCATAGAGGTGGCTGCATCATGTTACGGATATTCTTGTAATCGTTAAGGACTGGGGAGTTTTTCAGGTTAAAAAATAAACTGAGTGGAGTGAAGTACTGACAAAATCCTAAAGGAAAACCTGGTTGTCTGCTTTCCACAGACACTGGGAGACAATAGCAGGACAATGACCTAAAACACAAGGCCAGATATACACTGGAGTTGCTTACCAAGAAGACATTGAATGTTCCTGAGTTGCCTAGTTACAGATTTGACTTAAATCGGCTTAAAAATCTATGGCAAGACTTTAAAGTGTCTGTCTAGCAATGACTAACAAATGACCAACAACCAACTTGAGAGCTTCAAGAATTTAAAATAATGCAAATATTGTACAATCCAGGTGTGCAAAGCTCTTAGACTTACCCAGAAAGACTCACAGCTAAACGCTGCCAAAGGTGATTCTAACATGTATTGACTTGGGTGTGAATACTTATGTAAATGAGATTTCTGTATTTCATTTTTTTATGTGCATAAACATGTTTTCTCTTCGTCATTATGGATTATTGTGTGTAGACTGTCAGGAAAACAAATACAGTTAATCCAGTTTGAATTCAGGCTCTAATACAATAAAATGTGGACTAAGTCATGGGGTATGAATTACTTTCTGAAGGCACTGTACATGTCATTATAGTTTATATTAATGTGTATTCTGTCCCTGAATTTACTTGAAATACCTGTAAATGCTGTTCTTCAATATATTAAATGGTAGGCAACATCTCACGTCAGCTAAGATGTAATGGTTGGTTTGTTTAACTCCTCAGGTGGCTATGGAAGTTATGGATATGGGAACAATGGAAACTCTGGAGGCTATAGTGAGTATTGATTTTCCCTTATACTTATCTTCCAATCCATGGAATAGTCTTGCGACTCCTAGTCTTTGGTTTTTATTTGATATGTCCACCTTTATAATGAGGACACTACAAGAGGGGTTCTCACTCTACTCGCGTTGTAAATATTAGCAGAAGTTCAGTGTGGTTTGATCAGAGCACAACATGCTCAGCCATCTTGGAGGAGAGTTAGTGGCATACATCGTGGTCCTTTGTAGCTCAGCTGGTAGAGCACGGTGCTTGTAACGGCAGGGTAGTGGGTTTGATCCCCGGGACCACCCATACGTACAAATGTATGCACGCGTGACTAAGTCGCTTTGGATAAAAGCGTCTGCTAAATGGCATATTATATTATTATTATTATCTGGAGGTTCCCAACAATACAAGACCTGGAAAAGTTATTTTTTAAATATTTTTGTATCTATACTCAAAGTATATTATTTGTGTTTTGTTTGTCATTGAATGTCATCTAAACAAACTACCTAAGAAGGAACCTGAGTGCTCTTATTCATTTTACATTTTAGTCATTTAGCAGACGCTCTTATCCAGAGCAACTTAGTGAGTGCATACTTTTTTTTCATACTTTTTTTATTCCTGGTTCGATTATGATTTTACATTTCTCTGCTTTGTTAAGCCACAGGACTCAATCAATCACTTTTTGACCCCCCCCCCCCATATGAGAGACCCCCTCCTACCAGCAGCCTGTTCTGAGGAAACACCTTCTTGAGCGTGACAGGAGCAGAGAAATCTAAAAGTCCAACAAACAAAAAAGCTGTTTTGAAAACAATTTGACCAAGTCATTGACACATGCCACTTTTTATGGCAAAAAACAAACCAATCTAATTTTATTTTTCCTTCTCTGCTCTGTCTCATTCTTTAGGTGACTTTGTCTCAGACTGCTATGGCTACCACGAGTTTGCGACATAGATCATCCCAATCTTTTAAATCAAAACAAAATGTAGAGAAAGAGGAGCAAACTATAGTGTTCCCGCAACATGAACTCCAATCACGCCCCCGGAAAAAACGGTCCCCTTTGCTTACCCCCAACGACTCATGTCCCAACGCCTAGAGAGATGGGAGGCCAGTGAGTGCATGTTGCCATTGGTCACCTTCCATCCCCTCTGCCAACCCTCGGACGTACCTGGACAACCGGATATGCCAAAAGCCACAGGCACACTTTCCCAATAGACTGCCTTCCTTAGTGGAATTGAGACCAGATCATTATGGAGAACTGTGGTTGTCTGATGGATAATGGCCCACCATGATGTCATGCACATTGGAGTGGGTCAGACTGTGGAGATTGATCCCATTGTGGCCATCCACAGAGTTCTGTCTCGAATGTCTACTCACAAAAAAGTTAAATTTCTTATGATGTGAACAGCCTTTTATTTCATTTTGTTGTCTGAAAATGTATTATCAATCATCTCATTGTCAGGCAGTTTTTTTTATTTAGCAGTTTTTATGGGATCATAAGGCTGCTTTGAATATGTGCAGTTTTTTTATTCTAATGGCAGAATTGCTAAATCATGTCTATTGATGCATGATGGTTACATGCTAGTCTTACCTTGAAAATGACAATGTTCACAATGCCCCTCATTTACCTCACGTGAGGCTCCTTTAGGCATGAAAGAACCACGGTGTTGTTGATACCTGCACAAGACTAACTTTGACATTCTGCATTATGATTGTGAAGGAAAAAATATAAAGTCTTGTATGTTTTTTTAAAATAAATAAATGTGATATCCCATACAATAATGTGGTACTACAATTTTAGTGAAACACTTCACTTTCTTGAAAATGCTATGTATTCATCTTAGTGCCTTTACAAGCATGGGTGTGACAGCAGTAGAAATGTCTACAAACCCCCTCTTAATCTAATGCCTCTTGCTTTTAGATTACTACAATAGTGGAGCAAATGGTGGAGCTGCAGCTGCTGGCACCGTTACTGATGGCCCTGCGGCCAGCACTACAGGCGTGGCAGCTGCAGGAACCTACGGTTCATACTACCAGAACGATGGAGGCTACTCCACCCCTCCTCCAGCCCCCAAAGCCCCTGTCAAAAAGGAGGCCAAGTCACCCTTCCCTGGACCGCCAGGAGTTGGTGGGGGGGCCCAAGGGGCCTACCAGACCACCCCTGGCCAGAGTGCCTATAACCAGTATGGCCAGGGCTATGGGCAAGGCAATAAAACCTTCAATCAAAACCAGGCAGGAGCAGGGGTTTATCCTTACAGCACTGCCTACCCCAGCCAGGTGACGGGCAGCGCTGTTGCCAGCCAAGACTACAATTACGAAGGTTAGATGGATTCTCGGCAAAGGGGAACACAAGTACACCGTAACCTAAGCTGTTTTATCGACAGTTTCACTAATCCACTTCCTCTTTTCCATAGGTTACGGAAATCAGTCAAATTACAACGCACAGGTAGGAGCCAACCAGAGCTATGGTGCAAATCCAGCTCCATACCACAACCCAGTAGGATACGGCAGGGGAGACCCCACCATGAACTACCAGTACAGATAGACTGAATCCGCCCTCGGCATACCCCCATCTGAGCCCCACAGTACCACCCCACAACCCTGTCACAAGCCTTCTCCAAAGAAGCGTCCTATGATCCATGGTTTTTCCATGTCTGCGTGCATTTTTTTTTTTTTTTTTACTTTAAAGTAATAAACTGGATTTATTAGTTGGCAGCTCCTCATGGCTGAATCAAATGGTCTATTTCATCAGTTTGGCCAGTGTTAAATGTTGTATTTTCTTTTCTTTGTATGCACTCCACCAATTCCCCCCACCATCACCACCACCCCAAAAGAGGGAATGGCACAGTTATGATTTTATTTCTGTCCATACGCAAACAGTTAACTATGTTGACATCTAGTTGTTTTTGGCTGAGAATTTGTTAAAATTTTCATTTTACAATACAATGGGCCTGGAGCACTGCTTGCTTGTTGAAGTATTTGCTTGTAATTTTAGACATTTATTTTTCAATGTTTTACTTGACGTATTTCTGTAGTTTAATTTTAACAAATAATGTAGGAAGTTACTAGAAAGACATTTTTAAATGTCAATCACATTTCTGGTCAAAGTAGATTTGGGGTGGTGGGATTATTTTTTCTCATAACCGTGTATAAGAAAGTGTGGTGTTTGTATCAATAAAGGACTTTTATTTTGGAGGAAAGTACATTGTTTGTGTGTTGACCAAGCATTTCACTTCATGAAAGATGGTCTCTACTAACCTTATGTTCCCTCCCAGATATCGGAAAATACATTTGAAGCCAACATTGTGCAATGAAATTGTCCATTTGGAGACGCTGCTATCCAGAGTGACTTACTTAAGATGGCTAGGTGGGACAACTGCATCTGTCAAAGTACATTTTTCCTCGAAGTAGCTATCAGCAAAGTCAGTGCTAGTAGGGAAAAGTCAAGGGCAGGTGTTATTTCACGAGTCAGTGTTTGCAGTGCTGACAGCCTCCGTGGCAGAGGAGCGCAGTCTCAGTTGAATGACCCATCTTGAAGCATGACTCATTAGGGACAAGAAGATTGCTCTGAGATGAGCGAGTTGGTCAGAGACTGCACGCTCAAGTGTTTCGAAAAGATGGGATACCAGTCTGTAGTTTGATGTCAGAAAGGTTGAGTATTGGTTTCTTGAAGAGGGGAGAGACTGGCCATTTTGAAGTCTGGGGGGGTAGCTGCAGCCAGTGGTCAGGGCTGAGTTGAGGAATGGGATGTCTGGAGGACGGGATAGGGTCGAGTGGGCAGGTTGTCAGGCTGCCGGACAACACTGGTAGCAGCATTTCATCTGGAGAGAAAGGTCATGGCGTACGGTAGCTCTGTGTGGGTCCAGTGGACTCAAGGTTGAGTGAATGAGTAGTGGACGTTCTCAACCTCCTTTTCAAAGTGGTTGACAAAGTTGTCCGCGGAGGTGTTAAAGGCAGAAGCTTGAAATTGAGTGATAAGTGGCTTTAGCGGCGGATACAGAGGAAGTGAGGATAATGGGTCCTTCGGAAGTTTAGTTTTTCTCTGTTTTCACTCAGCTGCCTACGTAAGTTTTATTGATTGTCTAAACATGTTTTTAGTAATTCTGTAATATGAGGTTGATCATGTTCAGCTGTAGCCTGAATGAGGTGAACGTGGTGGATTGTGATGAAGTGTCATGCTCCGACAATTTAATCAGAAACCGGGATATCAGCCTATTCCCTTACAATGCTGGGGCTTCTGATCCAGCTCTTTGGTTTGTGACCAACTCCTACAAATTACATGACATTAAGTGTCAAACAGATTGGAGGAATCTATGAATCGGGTACTTGAAGTGTTAAAATGTGTATTGATACAACAAGGAAAGACAGTTTACAACCAAGTAGTACTTGGTTGGGTATCAACTGATTCCTCATCAGAGTTGTCTGTGGTAATTGTTTGTGCCACAGCCCACTGAAAGCAGAAAAGCAATGGCATTACATTCCAAAATGGTTGATTCGATTAATACCATTTACAGTCTAACCAAAAGGCCTTTCCATTTGTGGTCAGCATACTCTGCTTACCCTATTTTGAGCTGATCTGGATGTCTCCCTCTGCCCCTCTCTTTCTGCTTCAGCACTGACTGTCAGTCTCGAGGAGCCACGGTGGGATGCCAGCTAGGTGTTTGTACCTACAGATGGAGTGGAGACGGGCTCTGGTACCATCACCACATCAGGAATTACCTGCTCAGTCTTGATGTCTTTCGATGGAGTCGGAGGAAGCTTGGAAAAACGCTGGACTGTCAGCGTGATCATGTTAGCCACCACCAAACACCGTTCTATGTCTGCTATGAAGGTCTCGATTTTATGGCTATTTTCCAGGGGGAACAACTTTGTGTAATCGTCGTACAGCATGCCAGGTATCTTGTCATTTGTGCCATGAATCTGGTGATACAGTTTTGCCAGATCTCACAAATGCTCTGCTCATATGAGCTCTTGACACGAAGCCCAGAACCAAGGTAAGCAGGTGTTCAGCTATAGCTTTTGGTCTGTGATCTGTGCTTCAGGGTAGATCCTCCCTACAAATCTGCACAATATGTATTTGAGGACAAACTCATAGCTAAAACCGCATCTTGCAGGGCTAGTTTGTTTCCCCGGTGTACCAACAGTCTCTTATGGACAGAAGTTGAAGTTACAAATTCTACAACTTGCCTTGGTTCAAGACGGAGGTTGGCCATCATTTTCAATACTGTGACTCCTGAAAATAAATCTAGCTTGCTCACAACACAATCAATGAGCTGCCACTCATGCAAGTCTATGATTTTGTCTTTTTGGGTGTCATCGTAGATCTGAATGAGCAAGAGAAAGACATTGCACCTCACAGTGTCTGAGTGAACCAGCAAGACCTCTTCTTCGGTTGGAGTCCTATTCCTAGTGGCCTCTGATAAGAGGCTGAGGGTAGTGCTGACTGTTACAGGGAGACTGCTGGGACCCTTAAACACATTCTTAACTTTAGCTGTGATCTCCGCAGTAATGGTGTTGACCAGGTGTGCCACCTGTGTTTAGTTTGTAAGTCAGGAGTTTAGTAGTGCCAAACAGGTGCTCTAGCTTCCTGAGCATTTGTTTGGATGATCTTCTCAGCAGTAGGTATGGAAAACTAGAGGTGCATTCAACAAGGCTTCCGTTTCCAAACGCTAACTATGTTTGTTTTCAACAGAGTTGAATGTTCAATTTCTTTGCAAAACTGAAATGGATGCGGCAAGAAGAGCAGTTGTGCTTGCTGCAGCTAGAGCAATTGTGGATGTTTTATTTTATTTTGGTCCCCATCTAATTTAAGCACTGCTTCCCCTACTAGCAGTCGCTATTGATGGGATTGAAGATGATTCCGGGAGAATACAATCTCAAACTGTTAGCTAACGTTAGCAAAAAGTAACGGTCAACATCAAGCTAACAGTGTTTTTTTAATATGTTAGCTAGCGTTCGCAAATGTGAACGCACCTCATGCCTGAGCGGACTTCACAGCAACACTGAGGTTTTCCAGTACAGTCAGCACCATATCCACGGCTGTCACTCAGGGCCTTTATAGGAAAGTTATGGGGATTGAGGTTTGATTGGCCGAACTGCCAAGCCATTATGGCCGAGATCAGCTTGGTGACAAGGGCTACCACCACCTCAGATGGAGACTTCAGGCTAGAGCAGGACTCGTAGGCCAGGGAGTGTTTGATAATTATCAGAGCTCTTTGGACCATAATGTTGGCCCAAAGAGCTCTGATAATTATCAAACGCTCCCTGGCCTACGAGTCCTTGGTCGTAGATGCTGGGTGGATCCAGAGATGATAAAGACAAGGCTGATTATGCAGATAAGAGGTATGAAAAAACAAACATGTGAACCTCCCAACTACAATTGAGGACACTAGGTAGGCTATAACATCTGTTACATTTTTCTGTAAAATGATGCAAGTAAAAAATATAACTACTAGAGAGTGAATGTGGCTCATAGATTAGCTTGACTTGTTCCCCATACTGGTGTCGTGGTCATCACTGGAGGAGGATATTTCACCTCTACCTCAGCCTGATTTTTCATTTAAATCATTTTAGGTGTTTGTACACCTCTCAAACATGGTCTCGGAGCATTTCGTATTATTCTGCACGTAGATCCGAGACACTCCATTTAGTATGATATGCTACGTTTCGTATGGTATGTATTCATTTGTGGATGTCCCCTCAAAATAACTCCACACACAGCCATTCATGTTTAAACCACTGGCAACAAAAGTGAGCACACCCCTAAGTGAAAATGTCCAAATTGGGCCCAATTAGCCATTTTCCCTCCCCGGTGTCATGTGACTCGTTAGTGTTACAAGGTCTCAGGTGTGAATGGGGAGCAGGTGTGTTAAATTTGGTGTCATTGCTCTCACACTCCCTCATACTGGTCGCTGGAAGTTCAACATGGCACCTCATGACAAAGAACTCTCTGAGGATCTGAAAAAAAGAATTGTTGTTCTACATAAAGATGGCCTGGGCTATAAGAAGATTGCACGGTGGCTAAGACCATACAGCGGTTTAACGGGACAGGTTCCACTCAGAACAGGCCTCGCCATGGTCGACCAAAGAAGTTGAGTGCATGTGCTCATCGTCATATCCAGAGGTTGTCTTTGGGAAATAGACGTATGAGTGCTGCCAGCATTGCTGCAGAGGTTGAAGAGCTGGGGGGGTCAGCCTGTCAGTGCTCAGACCATACGCCGCACACTGCATCAAATTGGTCTGCATGGCTGTCGTCCCAGAAGGAAGCCTCTTCTAAAGATGATGCACAAGAAAGCCCGCAAACAGTTTGCTGAAGACAAGCAGACTAAGGACATGAATTACTGGAACCATGTCCTGTGGTCTGATGAGACCAAGATACACTTATTTGGTTCAGATGGTGTCAAGCGTGTGTGGCGGCAACCAGGTGAGGAGTACAAAGACAAGTGTGTCTTGCCTACAGTCAAACATGGTGGTGGGAGTGTCATTGTCTGGGGCTGCATGAGTGCTGCCGGCACTGGGGAGCTAGAGTTCATTGAGGGAACCATGAATGCCAACATGTACTGTGACATACTGAAGCAGAGCATGATCCCCTCCCTTTGGAGACTGGGCTGCAGGGCAGTATTCCAACATGATAACGACCCCAAACACACCTCCAAGACGACCACTGCCTTGCTAAAGAAGCTGAGGGTAAAGGTGATGGACTGGCCAAGCATGTCTCAAGACCTAAACCCTATTGAGCATCTGTGGGGCATCCTCAAACGGAAGGTGGAGGAGTGCAAGGTCTCTAACATCCACCAACTCTGTGATGTCGTCATGGAGGAGTGGAAGAGGACTCCAGTGGCAACCTGTGAAGCTCTGGTGAACTCCATGCCCAAGAGGGTTAAGGCAGTGCTGGAAAATGATGGTGGCCACACAAAATATTGACACTTTGGGCCCAATTTGGACATTTTCACTTAGGGGTGTACTCACTTTTGTTGCCAGCGGTTTAGACATTAATGGCTGTGTGTTGTTATTTTGAGGGGACAGCAAATTTACACTGTTATTCAAGCTGTACACTCACTACTTTACATTGTAGCAAAGTGTCATTTCTTCAGTGTTGTCACATGAAAATATATACTCATATTTACAAAAAGGTGAGGGGTGTACTCACTTTTGTGAGATACTGTAGTTGCGATATCTCTGCATTCAAATTGCCATCGAAAATGCAATTGTGTTCAATTTCCGTAGTTTATGTCTGCCCATACCATAACCCCAACGCCACCATGGGGCACTCTGTTCACAATGTTGACGTCAGCAAACTGCTCGCCCACATGACACCATACACGCTGTCTGCCATCTGCCCGGTACAGTTGAAACTGGGATTAATCCGTGAAGAGCACACTTCTCCAGCATGCCAGTGGCCATTGAAGGTCAGCATTTGACCACTTTAGTCGGTTACAACGCCGAACTGCAGTCGGGTCAAGACCCTGTTGAGGACGACGAGCACACAGATTAGCTTCCCTGAGACGGTTTCTGACAGTTTGTGCAGAAATTCTTTGGTCGTGCAAACCCACAGTTTCATCAGCTGTCCGGGTGGCTGGTCTCAGACGATCCTGCAGGTGAAGAAGCCGGATGTTGAGGTGTTGGGCTGCGGTTGTGTTGCCGGTTGGACATACTGCCAAATTCTCTAAAACGACGTTGGAAGCGGCTTATGGTAGTGAAATTAACATCCAATTCTCTGGTAACAGCTCTGGTGGACATTCCTGCACTCAGCATGCCAATTGCACGCTCCCTCAATTTGAGACATCTTTGGCATTGTGTTGTGTGACACAACTGCGTATTTTAGTGTCATTTTATTGTCCCCAGCACAAGGTGCACCTGTGTAATGATATGCTGTTTAATCAGCTTCTGTCAGGTGGATGGATTATCTTGGCAAAGGAGAAATGCTCACTAACAGGGATGTAAACAAGTTTGTGCACTAAATTTGAGAGAAATAAGCTATTTCTGTGTATGGAACATTTCTGGGATCTTTTATTTCAGCTCATGAAACATGGGACCAACACTTTACATGTTGTGTTTTATATTTCTTTTCAGTATACTTCCATCTTTGGTACAGCTATCCATCTGGATTTCTGTCTGTTTCCATTTGTCGTTTTTGAATCTCTCAACAAGGAAGATGTGCAGTAATTTGTTTTTGTATGAAGTAAAATTGTATTATATTTAAATATTCGTTCCAATTCCAGGCAAACACGTTTATAGTCTCCTTTTGTGGGACAATTCTGTATGATTCTACTTCCATTTAAACTTCACCTACCTACAGCAAGCACAATATTTCCAAGATACATCAGATCAGTCATTCAACTATATCCATTCATGTGAAGTGCTAATCATTCTCATCCTCAGTCGCAATTCAGTCACTGATAGTACATTGCATGCAATGCATGGGATAAATCAAGTGTGTAGGGGATTTTTTAAAATTCTTCAAGATGTCAATTCGGGTATTAATTTTCGCTTGTTCTGAGGGGTTTACGGTATTTGAAAATACTGGCTCTTGTATTCCAGTACTTTCGACATATGCAATAATGAGCTCACTACCGGTCTCTTCGGCTTCGCTGTGACAAGCATGGCTGACACTGGTCTTGTAGAAACACTTCTTCGGCGGGTGGAAAAGGTGGACGGTGGTCTCGACAGTCAGGATGTTGCGACCAGTCTTGGGGTGGACCACCAAGCCATCGTCGGAGCTGTGAAGAGCCTACAGGCACTTGGTGATGTGAGTTTACCTGCCGGTGTTGAAGCGGAAGTTAAGAGACCGTCCACTGACTGTGTTCATTCGGCAGACTAGGACAGGTGACGCTTAAACCGACTAACAAAAACTTAAAACTGACCCTTACCTTAACCAAACCCTTAACCCCAACCTCATTTTAATTCTGAAATTAAATATTGGTTTGGGAGTCAAGCGTGTCCATATAGCCCTTTCATGTTCATTCGATGATGATGGGCGATTGGATAGGAAAGTGATGCAATAGGGACGTAAACGGGATCATGTTAGCCAGCTAGTTAGCAACCTTCTATTGTGAAGAATAAATAATTGTAGATCATGAATATATATAACATTTAGCTACCCTTATTGAATACAGTCACAATGCTATTACAGACTTGCGTCCCTGTCAAGAGACACAGGGCAATCCAATCCAATCCAACAATGCAATGGTGACTACAATCCAATGCAGTGGTGACTGTTCAGTCTGACTTTTCCACTGCACTGCTAGTCAGCAGACTTGACCAAAAACTGTTAGACATCTTCAATATGTAGACATTTGCCTTAATGATGATTCAATAAAAGCTATCTACCAACGTCTGATACGCCTAGCTGGCTACTACTTGTATAGGATGGTAATTGAATGTCAACATTGAGAAATTCGACTGAGCTAATAAATTGGGAGCTGTTATTGTCACTGGATGTAAAACATTTTCCATGGTAAACGTATAATATGCAGTGATAGCTAATTCATGATGTGTACACCAGTCAGACCTTGAGAAGATGAGAAATGCGTGGTCCTCTGCTTCAAGGCTCCATTATGATTTTGATCATGGTTGTTTGTTTCCCTGCGCAGGTTATCTCAGCTGAGCAGCGCTCCTCGAAGCACTGGGAGCTGACTGGGGAAGGCTGTGAGATAGCCGAGCAGGGCAGCCATGAGGCCCGAGTCGTCAGCTCCATCCCAGAGGAAGGGATGCCTCAGAGCCAGCTCATGGTGAGAGGACCTGCAGGGTGCCTGGATAAATATATACCATGATGTTGTTGTGATGTTTATTTGGATGAAAAACATAATGTAATGAAAGTTGAGCTTTACATTGTGATTTTGGGTCATAGCAATACAGTATATGCTCTCTACTTGGAGCATGGAGGCAGTGTTTACGGATTGTTTTGTCTCTGTCTGTTTAGAAACTAGCCTTTGGGAAGGTGGGTTTCAGCAAGGCCATGTCCAACAAGTGGATCCGTCTGGACAAAGGCCACGAGGGCGGCCCCAGGATCTTCAAGACTGTGAGTTTATCTTCACATCTGACTAGGTGTGCTTTGTGATTGAGTGTTGCTTTTATAATGGAGAAAATAAGTATGACACACACAAACATCAATCTCGTGTGTGGTGTGTGTGCGCGCGCGTGTGTGTGTGTGTACCCAGGTGGAGAGCTTAGAGGACTTGGTGAGGGACAAGTTGCTCCTGGTACAGAAAGGCCAGGCGTCTCAATTGGAGGAGAAGGAGAAGAATGAGCTGAAGAAACGCAAACTGCTCTCTGAAGTGTAAGAATCAGACCTGTTGATAATATTTGACTACTGTGAAAAGTATGTGAAATGTTAAATATAGGCCTAACTGATATCTACCAGTAGATGGCAATAGATGGCATTCAGCAGTACAACACTGTGTTCACTCATCTGGCATCCAGGCATGTTCAGGATGCCCCAGTCACAACTAGCCTCAGCATAGTCCAGCTGGAACTTCATACACACTCCTATTTCAGCTTATTAATCATGCTGATGATGTTCTCTGACTTGTTGACCCCTAAATCTTTAGTTGAATAACAGCTGAGAAATTATATAAATATAAGATTTGGATTAGAATATAAATTCTGTCTTACATCATAGTTACATCCTACTTACATAATATTCACAGATCAGATGTGAGTCAATGTTGTCATCTTGTCTGAGTCGAGATGTCTAGTTCACCCAATGATACAGTTGAAGTCAGAAGTTTACATACACCTTAGACAAATACATTTAAACTCAGTTTTTCACAATTCCTGACATTTAATCCTAGTAAAGATTCCCTGTTTTAGGTCAGTTAGGATCACCACTTTATTTTAAGAATGTGAAATGTCAGAATAATACTAGAGAGAATGATTTATTTCAGCTTTTATTTCTTTCATCACATTCCCAGTGGGTCAGAAGCTTACATACACTCAATTCGTATTTGGTAGCATTGCCTTTAAATCCTTTAACTTGGGTCAAATGTTTTGGGTAGCCTTCCACAAGCTTCCCACAATAAGTTGGGTGAATTTTGGCCCATTCCTTCTGACAGAGCTGGTGTAACTGAGTCAGGTTTGTAGGCCTCCTTGCTCGCGCACACTTTTTCAGTTATGCCCACACATTTTCTATAGGATTGAGGTCAGGGCTTTGTGATGGCCACTCCAATACCTTGACTTTGTTGTCCTTAAGCCATTTTGCCACAACTTTGGAAGTATGCGTGGGGTCATTGTCCATTTGGAAGACCCATTTGCGACCAAACTTTAACTTCCTGACTGATGTCTTGAGATGTTGCTTCAATATATCCACATAATTTTCCTTCCTCATGATGCCATCTATTTTGTGAAGTGCACCAGTCCCTCCTGCAGCAAAGCACCCCCACAGCATGATGCTGCCACCCCCGTGCTTCACGGTTGGGATGGTGTTCTTCGGCTTGCAAGCTGCCCCATTTTTCCTCCAAACATCACGATGGTCATTATGGCCAAACAGTTCTATTTTTGTTTCATCAGACCAAAAAGTGCTATCTTTGTCCGCATGTACAGTTGCAAACCGTAGTCTGGCTTTTTTATGGCGGTTTTGGAGCAGTGTCTTCTTCCTTGCTGAGCGGCCTTTCAGTTTATGTCAATATAGAACTCGTTTTACTGTGGATATAGATACTTTTGTACCTCTTTCCTCCAGCATCTTCACAAGGTCCTTTGCTGTTGTTCTGGGATTGATTTGCACTTTTCACACCAAAGTACGTTCATCTCTAGGAGACAGAACGCGTCTCCTTCCTGAGTGGTATGACGGCTGCGTCGTCCCATGGTGTTTATACTTGCGTACTATTGTTTGTACAGATGAACGTGGTACCTTCAGGCCTTTGGAAATTGCTCCCAAGGATGAACCAGACTTGTGGAGGTCTACTATTATTTTTCAGAGGTCTTGGCTGATTTCATTTTCCCATGATGTCAAGCAAAGAGGCACTGAGTTTGAAGGTAGGCCTTGAAATACATCCACAGGTACACCTCCAATTGACTCAAATTATGTCAATTAGCCTATCAGAAGCTTCTAAAGCCATGACATCATTTTCTGGAATTTTCCAAGCTGTTTAAAGGCACAGTCAACTTAGTGTATGTAAACTTCTGACCCACTTGAATTGTGATACAGTGAATTATAAGTGAAATAATCTGTCTGTAAACAATTGTTGGAAAAATTACTTGTGTCATGCACAAAGTAGATGTCCTAACTGACTTGCCAAAACTATAGTTTGTTAACAAGAATTTGTGGAGTGGTTGAAAAACAAGTTTTAATGACTCCAACCTAAGTGTATGTAAACATCCAACTTCAACTGTATATATACCCTAACCCTGTGTTTATATACAATATTGAGTTCACCCAAACAGACTACACGAAAATGTCCACTAAATGAATGCACCAGCTAAAAGACCACAAGCACTTTTCTGGGTCCAGTGAGGCATGATCCCAGTGGTGAGGTTTATACTGTACCTGGTGATATTAATGTTGGCTCCGTCACTAGCTCAGGCCATTGTTCCCCGAGGTAAATCTCTCTCGGTCTCGCTCTCTCTCTCGTTTGCTCTCTGTATATCTGTGCCCTAAATGGCATGCTTCCAGTGCCAAGCTTTGTTCGGTTTTAATATCACAAATGGACAGCAGTATGAGAACTCAACCCTGCGATGTTCCCCGCGTCCAGAGTTTAGACACCCTGAGCAACAGATTGTTGATTGTCTACTTCCTATTTGCTTAATAGTGTCCCAATCCCCAATGTTCACCAAAATAAGACCTCTTGTGGCCTTTTGTGACTCATCTGATATAACACATTCAAATGACCACATTTATGAAGTTTGAATGAGAATTATTGTATTTAGTATTTATTTCTGTGAATTTTAGGACGGTCAAGTCGTACTGGATCACTAAGGGCAGCTGTTTCAGCACCACCATCACCAAGCAGGAGACAGAGCTCACCCCAGAGATGATCGCTAGGTGAGTCCTGCTCTGCTTTGCCTTTCCTGTTAAGTTTGTCATGGTCGCTCTATGATTGCTTAGATGGACTGGGGATTCCTCATTCTGTATCTCTAACCTGGACGCTGCTGCTAAGGACCCTGTCCTAAGGCAAATGTATGTTAGCCTAAAGTGGTTAATTCTCTCACAGTGACGTCTGTGTCATTTCTATTCATATCACTGCCTGTTCTAGTGAAATTGGCAGTGTTTTCATCAGGTACCGCACATGATCCAATTAGTTTTTACCTGGAAACTACAGTCTCTCTCAAAATGCAGCTGATCTCTTGACCAAGTCTGGTTTTCATGTGATTGTCTGAAACAGTTTGTTAGTTCTCATACCCCAAAACAGCTTAATGAAAATGCACCATCTCCTGGTCTGCAATATCACATGAGGGGATTTGTCACAGAACTGAATTCAGGTGTCCCAAAAATTAAATGTGTTTTTGTTTATTTGCCTCCACGTTTTATCTGCACACAGACTTTGCTTGTGTTTGGCATATACACTCATTAATTTGATGTTCTCTAGAACATATTATATGTTCTCCTCCAAATTGACCTTTCTCTGGTCGGTGACAGTGGGAGCTGGAAGGAGAAGAAGTTCAAGCCTTATAACTTTGAGGCCATGGGTGTGGCCCCAGACTGTGGCCACCTGCATCCACTCATGAAGGTCCGCACGCAGTTCAGACAGATCTTCCTGGAGATGGGGTGAGTGTCCTATCCTCTATTCTGCCCTTGCAGGACACCATCAGTATATACACACAGTACCCTATATCTAAGACCTGTGTGTACTCACTCTTCCTGTCTTCTTCAGCTTCACTGAGATGCCCACCAACAACTTCATTGAGAGCTCCTTCTGGAACTTTGACTCCCTGTTCCAGCCCCAGCAGCACCCGGCCAGAGACCAACACGACACCTTCTTCCTGTCTGGTGAGCGACTGGGTTTCTCTGTGTGTCTGGACTTGATGCCCAGATAAGATACAATGGTGCATTATTGATGATATGCTGAAAGGGAAATGTGATTTCCCTAGCTAAAACAGACTCTAGATTTACATTAGATATAACTCACCTGTTTTCATCATATACCATCAGTATTATTTCCAATTAACTATTATATTTCTCAGACCCAGCTCAGGCCCATGAGTTTCCCCAGGACTACCTGGAGAGAGTGAGGAAGGTCCATTCAGAGGGAGGCTTTGGATCACAGGGGTGAGAGCTAATCTTCCACACACATGCATACGCATGCATTTACACGCACACTCACCATGACCACAACCTGTTCTATTTTTAACGCTGTCTGTGTTTGACAGGTACAAGTATGACTGGAAGATTGAGGAGGCTCAGAAGAACATCCTCCGTACTCACACCACAGCAGTCAGCGCTCGCATGCTGTACAAACTCGCTCAGCAGGTAACCCACTATATACATTTTTTTCATGAATTAGAAAGCAATTGCATGAGGGTGATGTTACATTCTAACTGTGCAGCAATTGAGCAACTTTCCTCTGTAACTATTTCAAATGTACATTTCTCTCTACCAGGAAAAGTTCACCCCTGTCAAGTACTTCTCCATCGACAGAGTGTTCCGTAATGAAACTCTGGACGCTACCCACTTGGCAGAGTTTCACCAGATTGAGGGAGTGGTGGCCGATTATGGCCTTACCCTGGGTGACCTCATGGGCATCCTTCATCAGTTCTTCAATAAACTAGGTGAGGGCTCTACCAGTCAGGGTTGGGGCAATTCCACAAATTCAATTCTAATGCAATTATCTCCCAGGAAATGTAATTCAATTCAAATTCCATGTCAGTCTTTGAATTAAGAGAAAATTCAATTCCTCTTAATTCCAAGAATTCAATTCCAAATGCAATATTATCCCCAACAATTCCACAAATTCCAGTTCGAAATTCAATTCCTTTAGGCTTTCAGGATGATCATGTCCCTGTTCAGACAGCCTAGCTATAGTGGAAATATCGGAATACAGATGGAAGTGATTCAAAACAAATCCTACAGTAAGTGTTTCATATTATATGCATTAATTCCATTAACTGGGAAATATTTAATTCCAATTCAATTCCAAAGATGAAATGTTTTTACAATTTCAATCCAATTCCATAACTTGAAGATTTGTTTTACATTCGAATGTAATTCAACGTACATTCTCATGAATGAGTGAATTCAAGAATTGAATTGGAATTTCAAATGAAATTGGAATTGACCCCCACCCTCCTACCAGTACCTCATTTCTTATTTGATTATTATTATTATGTATTTATTTTACAGTGGGTTCAGTTGTCTGTACTGAAGTGGCATCTGAATGCCTGTAGTCCAACATGAGCTTATTTCTCTGTCTGTCAGTTATAGTATTTCTGAGAAAGTAAATATATTTTCAATTTTCTCCAGGAATCACCAAATTACGCTTCAAACCTGCCTACAATCCATACACCGAGCCGAGCATGGAAGTGTTCAGCTATCATGAAGGTACAGTTCTTGTGAATATCCTCAAACCCTGGCATTTGTCACATTTGAGTGATGTGTGTATAAGCCTTGGGCTTTTGTCTCACTCTCAAACCCAAAAGCCCATAGATGATGCAGTCCTATCCACACTGAATCCATCTTAATTTGTCCATTCCTGCTCTCTCCAGGGCTGAAGAAGTGGGTGGAGCTGGGGAACTCTGGGGTGTTCAGGCCAGAGATGCTGCTGCCTATGGGGCTCCCTGAGGGGGTGACGGTCATTGCCTGGGGGCTGTCTCTGGAGAGGTGAGTCAATGACAAAGAAACACACTGCTCCTGGTGATGTAATGGAATTGACTGACCGACATTTGTCTAATACAAGAGTGGCATTACACAACCCCTTCTGCCTGGCCTGGCCTACCCCACTTCCACTCTCGCTGACCCCTGTCTCTAGCGCTGGGAAGTGCCAGGGACCTCACGATACAATATTATCACGATACTTAGGTGCCGATATGATATGTATTGCGATTCTCACCATTTTCACAATTCTATATCTATTGCAATTCGATACTGCGATTTTATGTTCCAAACATACACTGTGTACAAAACATTAGGAACACCTGCTCTTTCCATGACATAGACTGACCATGTGAATCCAGGTGAAAGCTACGATCCCTTATTGATGTCACTTGTTAAATCAACTTCAATCAGTGTAAATGAAGGGGAGGAGACAGGTTAAAGAAGGATTTTTAAGCCTTGAGACAATTGAGACATGGATTGTGTATGTGTGCCATTCAGAGGGTGAATGGGCAAGACAAAATATTTAAGTGCCTTTGAATGGGGTATGCCAGGCGCACCGGTTTGTATCAAGAAATGCAATGCTGCTGGGTTTTTCACGGTCAACAGTTTCCCGTGTGTATCAAGAATGGTCCACCACCGAAAGGACATCCAGCCAACTTGACACAACTGTGGAAAGCATTTAAAGTCAACATGGGCCAGCATCCCTGTGGAACGCTTTTGACACCTTGTACAGTCCATGCCCCGAAGAATTGAGGCTGTTCTGATGGCAAAAGGGGGGGTGCAACTCAATATTAGGAAGGTGTTCTTAATGTTTGTTGTACTCCGTGTATGTCTGCTGCAGAGAGACGAGAGAGCATGAGAAACTGTTAGTATACTGGAATGGGACATGGGATTTCAGTAGGAAAAAGTGTCCATAATGTGAAAATACACAATGTTATGCCTGTAATCCCAGTGTGATTTCCCATAAAGGGGTTAAAGGTGGACAGTAGTGCGGTGTCTGGTCAGTATCTGACATCATGTCCCCAGATGTGCAGCCATGCTTCTAGCACACGCCACCAGTCTGTTGGCCCACATGTTGACATGTTTACTTCTGGATTGTTATATCTGAGCAATGAGCATAAAACACCATATTGCCTAATGAGCCTAGAATAATGGTTTCTTCAAATGCAGGTCAGAACTGACCATTTAGATATATTTGTGCTCTACTGCGGGTGCTTGATCCCTGGTGACACTGAGGAGTTGTATCTATGAGAACAATCACTGCTAATGGTTATAGTCAGTGAGCAGGGAGGGACCATATCATCTACTCTGTGTAACCCCCTCCTCCATCTGCTCTGTCCATACAGACCTTTTCTCTCTATTTTGTCTCTATCCCTGTTTGTCCCCGCTTTCTCTCTGCTCTCTTCTACCTCTCTTTATAATGTACTATGTCATCTTCCTGACACTCTTTCCTCTGCCCTCCTCTGTCTCCTCCAGGCCCACCATGATCAAGTATGGTATCAACAACATCCGTGAGCTGGTGGGACACAAGGTCAACCTACAGATGGTCTACGACAGCCCTGTGTGTCGACTGGACTCTTAGATTCTGTTCAGGCTTCCTCTTGGACAGGCTCACATTACCATACACATCCCATCCAAGGCCTGTGTCATCAGGACCCCTTTGCTCCCTAGTAACCATATGAACACTGAACAATCCCATGAACCCTTAATGTACCCTGGCCAGAGACTGCCAGAGAGACAGATCTGTCTGTTTGAGAGGGAGGGAAAGAGGACTTACTTTTCTCCTTATAGCTTGTCTGGGATGCTAGCTGGATTATTGCCATTGTTTAGCCACGTGATACACAGGTTATACTTTAAACCTATTTTATGAAACATAACTCCTCTTTAGTCCTAACCAGCAGCTATGCATGTGCTGAGGGGTAGTGCTAGTACTGTTTCCTCTGCTGATGTGTGCACTACATCAGAGCATAAGAAACTTCACCAGTGAGTCTGTTTTTTAATTTAAATGTTAGAAAACTGCACAGAGGCTACCTTTTGAGCTCCCATGGAATGAAATGCTTGTACAATAAAGATGCTAACTTGAAGCCCTTTAGCCTTCCATACAAAACCAACCAACTCTGTGCTGTGTCCACTCAGTTCATGAGACAAATTAGAAATGGTCAAATAAAGATGTTTGAAAGTACCACGATTTATGTTGTCAATCTAATGTAATCACCACTGGTAATGCTGAGTGTTTGTTATTCTGCTCTGGCTGTGCTAGGTCCGGTTTTAACCTGTCAGAATAACATTCTTGTTCTCCTTGTTGTGGCTGGTGCGTAACGTGGTTTGGCGTGTTGAATGATGTGTGACAAGATTTAACCCAGAGGATTTAGGAGTTATTTGTGTCATTCCAGTGAATGTGGGATTACGAATCACCTTCATTGCCTCTAAATCTCATGTCATCGTACACAGGGTAGTCTCTTAGCTTTGTGTGTGTACCGTGTGTACAGGAGATAATTAGGTTAACACATTAGAGCACTTTGGTTGTAAGTGTAACCTAAAATAATTTGCTATGGTACTGAATGGTTTGCAATGATACTAAATAAAGATTCAAGTCTATTCCTGTTAGTTTGTTTTAGGCAACGGCACGTTGGATATCTTTTTTGCTGGTAGCCTAGTTCATTCCCAATCCCTGCAAGATTCTGAATAAATGTGCTGTTGTGAAGATGAGATGTTCTATACTTTACTGTTATGTATTATGTAAGTGTTCCGTAGTCTGAATCACAGACTGTACGTTGTAATGCAAATCAGTATCCTGCTGAGGAGCATTATTGAAGTTGTACTTCAGCCATGTGTAATCCCTTCACTGGAATTCTTTTTCTTGAAAACTTGTGCTTCCTCCAATGAACCTGGCACAGCAATGTCGTGGTACATGCACATCTTCCTGAGCATCCTGTGCTGTCTTTAGACACTTACATGGAACTGAATTTCTGAATTCGGGAGTCTTTAAAAAACCTTGCATGCTATTGAAGCTGACTTGAGTGCCCAGAATAGATGCTGTTGAAAGTTTGTGATAAAGAGAATGTTGTTGTGTGCTCTGCCAAGACTGGGAAATCTTGTCGGCTGCAATAATGGACAGACAGGATTAGGTGTTGTTTCCTTAATCAATTGCAAGAACTCCTTAAGTCTTTCTGTTCGGCTAATCTTTCAACGTCTGGAAATAACATTTTAAACCAGAGTCTGGGAGTCCAGCTAAGGGTTCCCCAGAACAAAACAATCTATATACAGAACAGATCAACCAAGTTTCTCTGTAGAACCTCTAATTCTAGTTGGAACATACTTTTGGATGCAATTTTTTCCTACCTGGTCCTAACTGTCACAAGAGTCCTAACTATCTTCACAAGCACTGGGATATAAAAAATGCTTCATAGGTATTTGAATCCAGTTTTATATGCATATTTCAACTTATATATTTTTTAATCCTGCGCAATCTGATCCTGTGTGTTCACCTGCATCATATCATGTTTGCACTTTCTAACTTGCAGAAGTTACACTACATACCCAAATCAATAATAACAGATGTAATAGCCATTAGTTTGAACTCAGTACAAATATTTACTACTTCAATGAACATCTCAGCTTTGATGTGGTACTGTAAAATTGTAGTCCCTTTTCATATTATGTAGGTACAGACCGGAAAGTCAAGTTTCTTAGTTGGCACAACCAGTGGACAAACCCATTAGCTGGTCCTTAATCTTGTTCACCCTCATACTCTCATTCTGGGAGTCATTTTGCACACAGTTCCACATATATCACCATGCATGCAATGATTTGCATTGATCAGAAAATCAATCATTTTGTCAAGTCAATGATTAATACATTTAGGAGTTCTCAAAACATGATCTACCAAGTCATGAGACTTGCTGAAAGCTTTATTTAAAGTAGTTTAGTTCAGATTTAGTAATAAGCAGTTCCCTTGTTTAGCCTTCACCCTATAGGTCTCATTATTCCCCTTTGATCTTGAAATGAAGCAGCTCAAGATTTTTATTACAGAGGAATAGTAGTTTTTAGAGGCCCCCAAATCTCTTCATGTTTTGATGGATACTGAAGCCGTATTTAAATGTTATATAAGAAAGGGGGCTGGTGCAGGCAGGTGACTGTGATAGGTTTGGGATGAGACATGGCAAATCCTTTTCCATGGGATCAGTCTGGATCATTTTGAATGTGTTGCACGTCTTTAAATAATCTTCTCATGGCAATAGCCACTGATTAACCCCTCTCCTGCACATGGTCCATTCAGTAAACCATGGGTTCTTAAACTTTTTCAGCTCGAGCCCAAAATTAGAAATTGACCGTCCTCCCATGACCCAAATCGTCCTCCAACGACCCAAATTAAGAATAAATAGTGTGTGATTGTAGATGTATTCTCATAACTTGTGACCCACCTTTCACATACCCAGGGCCCACTCAGAGTCCCAACCCATAGTTTAATTAAGAAACCCTGCAGTAGACAAATCTCAGTGTCAATACAGGATGATACTGTATAGCACCAGCATGAAAGTAATCTTCAAACTCTCCTTTGTCAAGCTTTGGTTGCTGTGGGGTGTTAACATAACAACCCATTTAGTTGTCTTGTTAATAATCTTAAGTAGGTCTGTTGAGTCCTGTGACGTGCTTGGTGTAATCAGAACCAACCAGTGACCACAGGGCTGGAAGGAGGTGGTGCTGGCTCCTTTCAGATCTCCCTGGGGAGGGAGTTAGAGTGCCCAGGCCCGGGGTTGCTGTCTATGGCCAGGGCAGCAGGGCTGTTGTTGTTGCCAGTGCCATGGGTGGGGAAGAAGGGGATGTAGGGGATTAAAGGAAACAGCAAAGGGCTGCCCGGTGGGCTCTCATCCAGGGGCATGGGGAAGCCCACATCATCTGTGTCCCACACGTGGAAGGCATTGTGGGTCAGGACTATGGGAGGGTGTCTGGGAATGAAGCACTGCGGGTTTCTGTTCTTCTCTAGGTCCTCCTCAGTAGGGCCAAGAAGACATTCTGATGAAAGGGGTTAAACAGAGGGGACACAGGAGAGATAAGCACTTTTGCTTCATGACTGGTGCCCCTGATCATCTCTAATGTGTTAGCTAGTCATGTTGCCATTTTGCAAAGAAAACCTAGGCCTAAGCCTATTTGTCACAAGTTATCTGGTACACTTATACATTGCGATGGAACAGCCTAACAACTACATAGATTAGTTAAATTTCCACCTGATTTTAAAACATTTTAAATTCCTACCTGTTATATCAAGGGCCAGGTCCTTGATCAGATGTCCAACAATAGCATAGGCGACTCCTACCACTACCAGTGCTGCAATCAGCAGGTACACCACTGCCTTTGGCAACGGAATGAGGTCCCGGACCGCCGGTTTATACTCCTTGTACAGCGGCTCTTCCGTCCCGACTAGTACGTCGAATTTGGAGACTAGTGGGGAAGCATGTGCCTCATCACTGAAATTAAAACTGGTGAAATTGAGGGCATTCATTATGGAAAAGTAGCCTAAGCGATATAGCTATAATGATGATAAACGCGCAGATGTCCGGAGATGAGGCAATGTTTCCCCCCCCCAACACCAAGACCAGGACTTGATTGGTGGTGATTCTTGTATCCGTGCAACACTCAAGTCTCAAATTCATTGACGTCTCCGTTCGAATGATCCTAAAGGAGATTGAAAAGCATGAAACATGTATATATGTTAATGTCTCAGTGGAGTTGGAGGTGAACACAACTCCACCAAATGTAATTTTCTTTTATGGAGATATTACTTCCAAACAATTTCAAAATGTTGACAGTACAAGCGTTAGCCGCATACCTTGATTTTGGACGATTTTGGACGACTGCTGTTTTGATTAAACAAACTGGCTTTGCTTTGATTAAAAAATAAAAAATAAAAAATAAAAAATTTGAGAAAATATAACTTTTTGATGTCTATCTGAAATTAATTTCCATGTTCAGAAGTCAATCCCCCTGGAGTTTTCCTTCGACGCGCTTCTTTGTCATCCCTCTGTCTCTGTCCTTGGTGCTTAAGTGAACCCAACCAACTTTCACGCTCTCAAATAGTAAACCGTAGTATTCCTAGACCGCCCACTGTTCAACACTAAAGGGATAAACTTTAACCCGCCTCCACTTAAACAGCCAACTCGTATCAGCTAGATGTAGTTGATAGTGTGCCCTTAATTCTATAGTTGATGGATTTACATTACCAAGAAATGTTGTCTCCTTAAATTTACTAAGGAGGCATGGCGTGAAGATTCTCATGCGAATTAGAACCTTTCCAGGAGATAGTTAATCGACACACGATCGCATGTAGTGGGCCTATTTGGTTAATCCATGTTGTTTAGGAAATACTGAAGAGCTCTTCATATTCAATATAACCTACTATCATCTTTGAAACATGTAGTTGTTCACCTCCACTAGATTATTTTAGAGGGAATATACTTCTCCATCCACTGGGCATAATTCAGGGCACAGCCCTGCCCTTTGACCTTCAATGCTTTCCCACCATAGACAGGATTAACTAATTGTAAGCAGATTTTGAAACTCATCCTCATGAGCCAAATCCTAACTGGAAATAAGGACATAGTTCATGGCCTCGATGTGTCAATGTAGGCTGTCCCTATCAAATAAATATATTATTATTTGGCTCCCTGTTAAAACTAATCATTTCTACCAAAATAGGAGCTATGTTGGTTCATGTTCAGTTACAGACTTCTATTTCCTTATGTAGAGAGCAGGCTTGGGCATGTATAGGGATTTATTTTGTTTCATAATTCCCTATTTCAAAGCAGCAGTAGACATGCAAAGAAGCAGAATCTGAAAAGATTAGAGGTTGTATTCCCTTTATGAGACAAGCCTTTATATGCCTACCCCATTTCCCTCATTTCCTGATGGATTTAAACTGCTAGAGCCACTGGAAAACCTCCAGAGATTATCTCCTGAACTTTGAGGGCGTTTTGTTCTGTTGGTTCAATATATCTACATATTGCAACAGAATGAGGACTTCTCACATTGTGTATGCTTCATGTACACGTGTGTGTGTGTGTGAATGCACGTGCCACCTGCTTTCGTTCATGCGTGCCAAAAGCCGAGGGAAGTATGGGTGCTGATGGTGCTGCAGTATAAAAGTAGTGCACTGGGCCTTTACTAGTCCTGTATTAGCTGACCGACATAGCCGTCTGTAGCACTGGCAAAAATGATTTTTCAGCATTTAAATGTCAAGCGCGCTATAACACTGATCTTCCACAGTCCGGATTGAATCTGCTTTACTGAGAATGGAACTGAAAGGACACTGCATGGGTTAAATTACCGCTGAGCCCCTGCCAGGTCAAATCACTGTGCAGATGACCCTGCCAAATACCCTTTTCCCAGTGTTTGCTATGGAATTATTGCAATACAACACCAATCATACAGTTGAAGTCGGAAGTTTACATACACTTAGGTTGGAGTCATTAAAACTTGTTTTTCAACCACTCAACACATTTCTTGTTAACAAACTATAGTTTTGGCAAGTCGGTTAGGACATCTACTTTGTGCATGACACAAGTAATTTTTCCAACAATTGTTTACAGACAGATTATTTCACTTATACAGTGGGGAAAAAAAGTATTTAGTCAGCCACCAATTGTGCAAGTTCTCCCACTTAAAAAGATGAGAGAGGCCTGTCATTTTCATCATAGGTACACGTCAACTGTGACAGACAAATTGAGAATTTTTTTCTCCAGAAAATCACATTGTAGGATTTTTAATGAATTTATTTGCAAATTATGGTGGAAAATAAGTATTTGGTCACCTACAAACAAGCAAGATTTCTGGCTCTCACAGACCTGTAACTTCTTCTTTAAGAGGCTCCTCTGTCCTCCACTCGTTACCTGTATTAATGGCACCTGTTTGAACTTGTTATCAGTATAAAAGACACCTGTCCACAACCTCAAACAGTCACACTCCAAACTCCACTATGGCCAAGACCAAAGAGCTGTCAAAGGACACCAGAAACAAAATTGTAGACCTGCACCAGGCTGGGAAGACTGAATCTGCAATAGGTAAGCAGCTTGGTTTGAAGAAATCAACTGTGGGAGCAATTATTAGGAAATGGAAGACATACAAGACCACTGATAATCTCCCACGATCTGGGGCTCCACGCAAGATCTCACCCCGTGGGGTCAAAATTATCACAAGAACGGTGAGCAAAAATCCCAGAACCACACGGGGGGACCTAGTGAATGACCTGCAGAGAGCTGGGACCAAAGTAACAAAGCCTACCATCAGTAACACACTACGCCGCCAGGGACTCAAATCCTGCAGTGCCAGACGTGTCCCCCTGCTTAAGCCAGTACATGTCCAGGCCCGTCTGAAGTTTGCTAGAGTGCATTTGGATGATCCAGAAGAGGATTGGGAGAATGTCATATGGTCAGATGAAACCAAAATAGAACTTTTTGGTAAAAACTCAACTCGTCGTGTTTGGAGGACAAAGAATGCTAAGTTGCATCCAAAGAACACCATACCTACTGTGAAGCATGGGGGTGGAAACATCATGCTTTGGGGCTGTTTTTCTGCAAAGGGGCCAGGACGACTGATCCGTGTAAAGGAAAGAATGAATGGGGCCATGTATCGTGAGATTTTGAGTGAAAACCTCCTTCCATCAGCAAGGGCATTGAAGATTAAACGTGGCTGGGTCTTTCAGCATGACAATGATCCCAAACACACCGCCCGGGCAACGAAGGAGTGGCTTCGTAAGAAGCATTTCAAGGTCCTGGAGTGGCCTAGCCAGTCACCAGATCTCAACCCCATAGAAAATCTTTGGAGGGAGTTGAAAGTCCGTGTTGCCCAGCGACAGCCCCAAAACATCACTGCTCTAGAGGAGATCTGCATGGAGGAATGGGCCAAAATACCAGCAACAGTGTGTGAAAACCTTGTGAAGACTTACAGAAAACGTTTGACCTGTGTCATTGCCAACAAAGGGTATATAACAAAGTATTGAGGAACTTTTGTTATTGACCAAATACTTATTTTCCACCATAATTTGCAAATAAATTCATTAAAAATCCTACAATGTGATTTTCTGGATATTTTTTTCTCATTTTGTCTGTCATAGTTGACGTGTACCTATGATGAAAATTACAGGCCTCTCTCATCTTTTTAAGTGGGAGAACTTGCACAATTGGTGGCTGACTAAAACCTTTTTTCCCCCACTGTAATTCACTGTATCACAATTCCAGTGGGTCAGAAGTTGACGGTGCCTTTAAACAGCTTGGAAAATTCCAGAAAATTATGTCACGGCTTTAGAAGCTTCTGATAGGCTAATTGACATCATTTTAGTCAATTGGAGGTGTACCTGTGGATGTATTTCAAGGCATACCTTTAAACTCAGTGCCTCTTTGCTTGACATCATGGGAAAATCAAAAGAAGTCAGTCAAGACCTCAGAAGAAAAATGGTAGACCTCCACAAGTCTGGTTCATCCTTGGGAGCAATTTCCAAACGCCTGAAGGTACCATGTTCATCTGTACAAATAATAGTATGCAAGTATAAACACCATGGGACCACGCAGCCGTCATACCGCTCAGGAAGGAGACGCGTTATGTCTCCTAGAGATTAACGTACTTTGGTGCGAAAAGTGCAAATCAATCCCAGAACAACAGCAAAGGACCTTGTGAAGATGTTGGAGGAAACAGGTACAAAAGTATCTATATCCACAGTAAAACGAGTCCTATATTGATATAACCTGAAAGGCCACTCAGCAAGGAAGAAGCCACTGCTCCAAAACCGCCATAAAAAAGCCAGACTACAGTTTGCAACTGCACATGGGGACAAAGATCATACTTTTTGGAGAAATGTCCTCTGGTCTGATGAAACAAAAATAGAACTGTTTGCCCATAATGACTCTCGTTATGTTTGGAGGAAAAGGGGGTGGCTTGCAAGCTGAAGAACACCATCCCAACCGTGAAGCACAGGGGTGGCAGCATCATGCTGTGGGGGTGCTTTGCTGCAGGAGGGACTGGTGCACTTCACAAAATAGATGGCATCATGAGGAAGGAAAATGATGTGGATATATTGAAGCAACATCCCAAGACATCAGTCAGGAAGTTAAAGCTTGATCGCAAATGGGTCTTCCAAATGGACAATGACCCCAAGCATACTTCCAAAGTTGTGCCAAAATGGCTTAAGGACAATAAAGTCAAGGTATTGGAGTGGCCATCACAAAGCTCTGACCTAAATCCTATAGAAAATGTGTGGGCAGAACTGAAAAAGCGTGTGCGAGCAAGGAGGCCTACAAACCTGACACAGTTACACCAGCTCTGTCAGGAGGAATGGGCCAAAATTCAGCCAACTTATTGTGGGAAGCTTGTGGAAGGCTACCCGAAACATTTGACCCAAGTTAAACGATTTAAAGGCAATGCTACCAAATACTAATTGAGTGTATGTAAGCTTCTGACCCACTGGGAATGTGATGAAAGAAATAAAAGCTGAAATAAATCATTCTCTCTACTATTATTCTGACATTTCACATTCTTAAAATAAAGTGGTGATCCTAACTGACCCAAGACAGGGATTTTTTACTAGGATGAAATGTCAGGAATTGTGAAAAACTGAGTTTAAATGTATTTGGCTAAGGTGTGTGTAAACTTCCGACTTCAACTGTATATAAGTTTGACCCAGACACTGCGTCAAAGTCGCCAAAGCAGATTAGGCCACTGCACATGTGAAGCATGATAGCTCTATTGACTGTGGGGAAGGGGAGAAAACACCCCTAGAGTGCATAAAACTTATAGAGTTCAGGTCTCAGACTGAAGACCCTATAGCTTCCTCAGTCTGTCACACCATCTGCTCTGCATCATCCTGTTCACCCTTCTGGTGCTAGGTGTTTTGTCTATTTTAGGAACTGCCTTACATGAAATTCAGCCCTTGGTTTGACGTTGTTTTAACTTCTTCCCAGCTCCCCCTCTCTTTTCTGTATTTTTTTCAGTTTGCTGATCACTTCTGTTTAAATCCCACTGGCATAACCTTAGTAGGCCTAATCCCCAGATATCAAAACCTTTTCACATTGTCTGAGCTCACATTGGATGCACTTTAAAGTTTGTTTGATCACACAAAGTTCATCCTGAAAATACCACATCTCTGGTGCTCTCTCTAAATGTTTTCCCCCACTGTCTTGACCAGACCCCAGCCTCACAGTTTACATTTAATTTGAATATGTCATATGTTTGATAACATTTGTTTGTTTGAGAATGATTTGAAAGAATATGCATTAAATCATTCAGAATGCGTGCGGGTGCGTGATGCATTATTGTTCTGAGTCGACTTTGACACTAGTTGAACAGCTGACCATTTCACAGCACGTGTCCTCCAGAGCGCATTTTCGCGCGCATTTTTCGAGTTGGCCAGACAGTTCTGACGAAAACCTTTATGAGACAGTGCAACTGAATAATATATATTTTTTTTGGTAAGTAGCCAGCAACAGTATTTTGTTGTTTCCAATGGAGTTTCGCTAAATATTCCTAATATTTTGGTTACCACCACATGAGTTACCCTTGACAAAACTCTGTGGAGACTGGATACCTACTTGGTTTTGTCATGATCAGATCAGACTGAGGTTAGCTTTATGCCTAGCTAGGCTAGCTGGCTAGCATAGCCTAATGTAACGTTAGTTGAGTCAGAGAAGGTTAGAGAAAGTGGTTTTGGTTGAGATGTTACAGAATTAGCTAACTTCCATATCGGTTGCATTTATTTTTCCTATGCACCATTTTGCTCATAGAAAATGTCCCAGCTCTTCTTTGGAAAGCCAGCCCCTACCTCTCAGTCTACACCAAAACCCGGTCATCATCATCCCTCATCACCCATGGTAAATGAAGGAAAAAATTTGAATGTCCAGCTCAAACTTGGGCGGCAGGTAGCTTAGTGGGTAAGAGCGTTGTGCCAGTAACTGAAAGGTCGCTGGTTCTAATCCCCGAGCCAACTAGGTGAAAAGTCTGTCGATGTGCCCTTGAGCAAGGCACTTAACCCTAATTGCTCCTGTAAGTCGCTCTGGAAAAGAGCGTCTGCTAAATGACAAAAAAAAAAAAAAAAAAAAAACTCTGAATGACTGATATCTTGCACCTGTGAATCCTTTGCTACTTATTGTTGACAACTGTATGCTTTCAGAAAATGTTATGGTTTGATTGACATTTCTCCCTGTATCCGTAGGACCCTGATAAAGGACATGGGCCAGACCAGGACATCCCTGATGAGACATTTTCGTTTGTGACACTGGACGATAGCCATGGACAGCAAAGGTATGGAGTTACTGGGTTTAAAGTATTATTCATTATGTGTTCTGTTCAGTATTTAACGTTGTTTTTTTTCATGGAAGTGAGGACTCCGGCATCAACATTTCAAACATCTCCGATAGAGGTGATGTACACAACAGTACTTCCAGCGAGCTCCCAGGTGAGGAGACAACGAATGTTGTCAGTTCAACGATAGAGGAGATAGGGAAGAAGGCCCAGGATCTGATTGAGAGAATCAACCAGAGCCGAGCCATGGACCAGGAAATCATGACCACCTTCGAGAACAAGTTAATTAATAAGGTATCACTGTTCTACTGTTGAGTAAAAAGCACATGGTCATATTTTTCTGTAGTTAAAAAAGAATGCATTGAGATTGAGTCTTAATGTTTATGTGGAGGAGTGTGACTGTGACTAGTGTGTATCTGCGTGTTTGCCGCCCTCCCCAGGTGAGTGAGGTGTGCCAGCAGGTGAAGGAGCAGATGTTCAGCAGCTATGAGGAGCATGGCTGTGGGATGGAGGCTAATCTGCAGGAGCTGTCTGAGGTGCTGGAGAGGAGCAGTCAGCTCAGTATGGAGCTGCAGGGAGCCAGTCAGACCTTATCAGCCATCAACAACAGCCTGCAGCAGACAGCTGAGCACTGACATCTACCCAGCCATTAATTTATTTTAACTGCCTTATAGCATCCCCACTTCTGGGAGGTCTAGCATAATTAAAGCAATGCCTTGTGTTTGTTTGACTGTGGTATATGTAAACTAGAACATAAAACAGTGGTTGTAAACTGAGCAGGTGTTGGAAGAAGCTTTTGTTTATAAATTATTTATTACATAACTTGTGTGGATATTTTTGTTCATACCTATCACCATGTGACCAAATAGCATTATAGAACAATATATTTAATGGGCCAGAATATTTACTTGTGCCCAGTTTAGAATCCAAAACATTCACCTTAATGCATATGGGTCACATATGCATTAAGGAACACAGAGAACTTAATAAAAAAAAGTTTTTTAAATAAATAAAAATACTATAGTAAGTGCATATTAAGTGCCAAATAAAGTAACAGGGTGGACCATAACAGGGTTGACGACATCTTAAATCAGCCATAAATTCCCTTGTGACGGGGAATGGAAGCTTGTGTGCAACAGTGGCAATTGAATGCAAGCTTCACCCAACAAATTAAATTGTTAAAACATTTCTAGTCTGTCTATCCATGGTAGGTAACAGGGTTGACTTGTTATGCTCGACCCACTCAGTTTTCCATCACAAAACACCAGAAAATTGCCAAAAAGAGTAGAACCTACTCACCTTCTTTTACACTATTTGACTTAATGTTCAATGTTTAGAAAAAATATATAAAACGAGTTCAGTTCACGTAACAGGGTTGACCTTAAAATGTACAGATATAAATTAAATAAATAATAATCTTCGGGAATGACCTTGTCAAAGCAACAAAATAACTAGGGCTTTACAATGATGGCGAAAACTTGGGAGACATTTTGGGGTTAAGTGAGTTAAAATCTTCCAGAAGTCACAGAGTGCACAGAGGGACATGTCAACATGCTGAATCTAGGCAATTTAGCAAGTCTTTATTCATAATACAAATCAGATTTATTGAATTCTCCATGTGGTCTATATTAAAGAGCACTTCATTTCATGTAACAGGCTTTTAAAAATCAATATTGGCGTACAATTTATATTTAAAATGTCAAAGGGACCCAAAAGACACTTTGTGGAATATCCCCCCCCATAAAAAAGCAATGGCATGATTATTTAAACTGCTTTAATATAACTTATATTTGACTTCAATTGATTTAACTTATTTTTTAAAACTCTAACAGTAAATGCAGTATACATTATTTGGCATTCAATGACCAATAATTGGTCATTAGTACCATCACAGTTCTAACAACTCAGGACATACATATTGATCTTGACCTCATTTTAAAATGTTTGTCCAACAACCATTTTACTACAATTTCTGTGAGGAAACAAGCTATTCATTCTGAACCATCTTAACTTCCACCGTATAGTGAACTATTACAAACACATTGTAGTCCGAAATTGTGCAAAACAACCAGTAAGCACTAGGGTTTTATGACAAAGTAGAAAAATAGCTTTGTTTTTATAAATTGAAATAATTACACTCATGAATTGTCCATGAGACCAATGATAGACTTGCCTTTAAAACCCTACCTGGTCTTTTGCATAAAATACTGGTTTGCCGGACACAGATTAAGCCTAGTTCTGGTCTAAAAAGCTATTTCAGATTCTCCATAGAGCATGCTTTTTAGTCCAGGACTAAGCTTAATATGTGTCCGGGAAACCGGCACTCAATGTGCATATTCTCAAGAGACAGGAAACATTAGCGTTAGTGTTACTGTAGATGACAAGCAGTCAAAGCAGTGTAGAACTACTTGTCCTTTGCTTAAGGAACAGATTGACTTGAGGTTTCTGTTAGTGGTCTGTTTGAGCACTAGCAGCAGGCTGTTAGTTATTAACAGTAAAAGACTGTAGTCCAGTGATGGCTCTGCCCAGAATCAGGGCATGGATGTCATGGGTACCTGGAACACAAAGAAAACAATATAAGGAACCCTGTGGAACAGTGCTGATGCTAAAGTTGAGTAAATATATAAGAAGAGACTGTTTTTTTCCTTTGAAAAAATCTTGGAAAATTCAATGGTTTCCCCATGTGACCAAGCAGACCTATTTATTTATTGTAATTACATTTACTGACCTCTACTGGTGAGGAAATATACCATGATTTGCTTCCACATCCATAGCATTGACACATCCATATCATCTTAGACCTGGTTATGGCCTTCTTTCTCCTCACCTTCGTATGTGTTGACGGCCTCCAGGTTCATAACATGGCGGATGATGTGGTACTCGTCAGAGATGCCGTTTCCTCCCAGCATGTCTCTGGCCTGCCGGGCAATGTCCAGGGACTTCCCACAGCTGTTCCTCTTCAGCATAGAGATCATCTCAGGGGCTGCCCTGAGGGAGGAGAGAAGAAGAAAAATATGAGATAAGTCTCCTCCTCATGTTCTAGTCACTCTGAAACAACCAGAAATTGTAGTTCCCCTATGGTGTGTGGTTCTTTGTTAAAAAGTGGATTGTCACACTACAAGATGATTATGTCACATCATTTCCAGTTCCCTCTTACTTCTTGGCGTCGATGAGTCTCCCTAGCTGTAGACAGGCCTGCAGGCCAATGGTGATCTCTGTCAACATGTCGGCCATCTTTTTCTGCATCAGCTGGTTTCTGGCCAGGGGCACTCCAAACTGGATTCTGAGATGAACAAATATCATGAGTAGCAGAATATCTTAAGTTCACTCAGAAAGGCTGAGAAGACAAAGTAAGATTGAAGAGCTACAGACTATTGCTCGGTCCTTCACATCCAAAACAACATCTCATACCAATAGTAGCTGCAGAATCCTCACCTGTCTAGTGTGTACTGACGGGCCGTGTGGAAGCAGAACTCTGCAGCACCTAGTGAACCCCAGGCGATGCCATACCGGGCGTTGTTTCAGGCAACCAAAGGGACCCTAGAGCCAAAGAGAACAGACAAATATTTATAACAACAGGATTAAACAACATAAGGAGGTCTGGCCATCCACATAAAAGTCAGTACATGACAGTGGTATCCTGGCCTCTACTCACCCCCAGGCCAGAGACTTTGGGCAGCAGGTTCTCCTCAGGAACCTCCACTTCGTCCATGATGATCATGCCGGTGGCAGACGCCCTCAGGGAGAACTTGCCCTCGATCTTGGGTGTGGTGAAGCCCTTCATACCGCGCTCCAGGATGAAGCCACGCACCTTCCCATCGTCACACTTGGCCCAGACCACAGCGATGTCTGCCACAGGGGAGTTGGTGATCCTGACGAAGGTGAAGGAGATGAGGGAAGATATAGCAATTTAAGGAGGAGCCATTTTATCAGTATGCTACAGAGTGAGCCTGGTTTCTAGGGCAATATGAGGACAGTTTCGCAAAAGTTTCACAAGACGTGATGGTAAAATTGAGCAGAACCACGTACTCAATGTCAAACTAAGCATTTGGTTGAAGTTGTGGAAGCTGCATTCCCCCAGAGGAAACAGTGTTACATAAAATATCTAAAACCTGAACTACAGGCCCAAGTTACCAATTAACATTTATTTATTTATTCAGTGTTAAGCTTACGCAATTGTGAGGGCCAATGCACTCAATGGTTAAGAATACAACCAAAGTCCAGTTCAGTGCTCAGTCACTGCTGACTTCTCTCAGTTCAGAATCATAACACTCTGTGAAACCTGAGTAAATGGCAACTGAGGGAAACCTAATATTCATGCACCTAGCATTAATATATTTGTGAACAGCACCACCCTGTGGACTAGTACAGAGCGAAATGTTGTTAACAATTTATACAAGAGCCAAACCGCTTGATCTTGGGTTTATTATTTGAACAAGACGTATAAAAAAAAAATGCTCTAATGAATATAAAATCGAATTAAGATTTCTGTATAATAGAAAGCACATATTCCTATTCTTCCGAAATTTTGGAAGTAGCCTATTCTTGACGTTTCATTAATAGGTTGCCTTTTCAATGAGCAGAGGAATGCATTCCAAGGTGTTGAGATAAAGGTAGCATTCATCAATGTCTGTAGGTGTTTGTTCTGTTATATGATCCATTGGCTATTTATAGGAAGCAATTCCAAAGTTCTTCGCATGGGCTCAAACTCAAAACCAAAACACTGACTACATCACAGTACATACACTACCGGTCAAAAGTTTTAGAACACCTACTCATTCAAGGGTTTTTCTTTATTTGTACTATTTTCTACATTGTAGAATAATAGTGAAGACATCAAAACTATGAAATAACACATATGGAATCATGTAGTAACCAAAAAAAGTGTATTTTATATTCTTCAAATAGCCACCCTTTGCCTTGATGACAGCTTTGCACACTCTTGGCATTCTCTCAACCAGCTTCATGAGGTAGTCACCTGGAATGCATTTCAATTAACAGGTGTGCCTTCTTAAAAGTTAATTTGTGGAATTTCTTTCCTTCTTAATGCGTTTGAGCCAATCAGTTGTGTTGTGACAAGGTGGGGGGGTATACAGAAGATAGCCCTATTTGGTAAAAGAACAAGTCCATATTATGGCAAGAACAGCTCAAATATGCAAAGAGAAACGACAGTCCATCATTACTTTAAGACATGAAGGTCAGTCAATACGGAAAATTTCAAGAACTTTGAACGTTTCTTCAAGTGCAGTCGCAAAAACCATCAAGCGCTATGATGAAACTGGATCTCATGAGGACCGCCACAGGAATAGAAGACCCAGAGTTACCTCTGCTGCAGAGGATAAGTTCATTAGAGTTACCAGCCTCAGAAATTGCAGCCCAAATAAATGCTTCACAGAGTTGAAGTAACAGACATCTGAACATCAACTGTTCAGAGGAGACTGTGTGAATCAGGCCTTCATGGTCGAATTGCTGCAAAGAAACCACTAAAGGACACCAATAAGAAGAAGAGACTTGCTTGGGCCAAGAAACATGAGCAATGGACATTAGACCGGTGGAAATGTGTCCTTTGGTCTGGAGTCCAAATTGGAGATTTTTGGTTCCAACCGCCGTGTCTTTGTGAGACGCGGTGTGGGTGAACGGATGAATTCCGCATGTGTATTTCCCACCGTAAAGCATAGAGGAGGAGGTGTTATGGTGTGGGGGTGCTTTGCTGGTGACACTGTCTGATCTATTTAGAATTCAAGGCACACTTAACCAGCATGGCTACCACAGCATTTTGCAGCGATATGCCATCCCATCTGGTTTGGCCTTAGTGGGACTATGATTTGTTTTTCAACAGGACAATGACCCAACACACCTCCAGACTGTGTAAGGGCTATTTTACCAAGAAGGAGAGTGATGGTGTGCTGCACCTGGCCTCCACAATCCCCTGACCTCAACCAAATTGAGATGGTTTGGGCTGAATCGGACCGCAGTGAAGGAAAAGCAGCCAACAAGTGCTCAGCATATGTGGGAACACCTTCAAGACTGTTAGAAAAGCATTCCAGGTGAAGCTGGTTGAGAGTGCCAAGAGTGTGCAAAGCTGTCATCAAGGCAAAGGGTGGCTATTTGAAGAATCTTGAAGAACACTTTTGGTTACTACGTGATTCCATGTGTTATTTCATTGTTTCGATGTCTTCAATATTATTCTACAATGTAGAAAATAGTAAAAATAAAGAAAAACCCTTGAATGAGTAGGTGTTCTAAAACTTTTGACAGTAGTGTACATCAAGGTTCCCCTAATGCCTGCTATCCAGCTACACACAGCACTGTCCAGTCAGTCCTGAAGTCCTCATGCTCATTGGGTGCTGAACTGTTTCCTTCACTATGTAGTAGGGCAGGGAATTGCCAGGGACCTCTCGCTACGCTATTACCACGATACTTAGGTGCCGATACAATATGTATTGCAATTTTCATGATTCTATATGTATTGTGATTCAATACTGCGATTTTATTGCGATTTTATATTCCAAACATATTGCTCACTACAGTGGGGAAAAAATGTATTTAGTCAGCCACCAATTGTGCAAGTTCTCCCACTTAAAAAGATGAGAGGCCTGTAATTTTCATCATAGGTACACGTCAACTATGACAGACAAAATGAGAAAAAAAAGTCCAGAAAATCACATTGTAGGATTTTTAATGAATTTATTTGCAAATTATGGTGGAAAATAAGTATTTGGTCAATAACAAAAGTTTCTCAATACTTTTTATATACCCTTTGTTGGCAATGACACAGGTCAAACGTTTTCTGTAAGTCTTCACAAGGTTTTCACACACTGTTGCTGGTATTTTGGCCCATTCCTCCATGCAGATCTCCTCTAGAGCAGTGATGTTTTGGGGCTGTCGCTGGGCAACACGTACTTTCAACTCCCTCCAAAGATTTTCTATGGGGTTGAGATCTGGAGACTGGCTAGGCCACTCCAGGACCTTGAAATGCTTCTTACGAAGCCACTCCTTCGTTGCCCGGGCGGTGTGTTTGGGATCATTGTCATGCTGAAAGACCCAGCCACGTTTCATCTTCAATGCCCCTGCTGATGGAAGGAGGTTTTCACTCAAAATCTCACGATACATGGCCCCATTCATTCTTTCCTTTACACGGATCAGTTGTCCTGGTCCCTTTGCAGAAAAACAGCCCCAAAGCATGATGTTTCCACCCCCATGCTTCACAGTAGGTATGGTGTTCTTTGGATGCAACTTAGCATTCTTTGTCCTCCAAACACGACGAGTTGAGTTACCAAAAAGTTCTATTTTGGTTTCATCTGACCATATGACATTCTCCCAATCCTCTTCTGGATCATCCAAATGCACTCTAGCAAACTTCAGACGGGCCTGGACATGTACTGGCTTAAGCAGGGGGACATGTCTGGCACTGCAGGATGAGTCCCTTGCGGCGTAGTGTGTTACTGATGGTAGGCTTTGTTACTTTGGTCCCAGCTCTCTGCAGGTCATTCACTAGGTCCCCCTGTGTGGTTCTGGGATTTTTGCTCACCATTCTTGTGATCATTTTGACCCCACGGGGTGAGATCTTGCGTGGAGCCCCAGATCGAGGGAGATTATCAGTGGTCTTGTATGTCTTCCTTTTCCTAATAATTGCTCCCACAGTTGATTTCTTCAAACCAAGCTGCTTACCTATTGCAGATTCAATCTTCCCAGCCTGGTGCAGGTCTACAATTTTGTTTCTGGTGTCCTTTGACAGCTCTTTGGTCTTGGCCATAGTGGAGTTTGGAGTGTGACTGTTTGAGGTTGTGGACAGGTGTATTTTATACTGATAACAAGTTCAAACAGGTGCCATTAATACAGGTAACGAGTGGAGGACAGAGGAGCCTCTTAAAGAAGAAGTTACAAGTCTGTGAGAGCCCAGAAATCTTGCTTGTTTGTAGGTGACCAAATACTTATTTTCCACCATAATTTGCAAATAAATTCATTAAAAATCCTACAATGTGATTTTCTGGATTTTTCCCCCTCAATTTGTCTGTCATAGTTGACGTGCACCTATGATGAAAATTACAGGCCTCTCATCTTTTTAAGTGGGAGAACTTGCACAATTGGTGGCTGACTAAATACTTTTTTTCTCCACTGTATATGTCTGCTGCAGAGACAAGACAGAGAATGAGAAAATGAGTTTTGATCAGTCATGGAAATAAAAGTGCTAAAAATATGTTGGCTCACTATTTAAAATGGAGAACAAGCTATAGGATGAAAAATACCAGAGTTTTGGTGCAGGTACAGCTGACTAAAACTATCTAGCAAAAAAAATAGTATACAGTGAGGGAAAAAAGTATTTGATCCCCTGCTGATTTTGTACATTTGCCCACTGACAAAGACATGATCAGGCTATAATTTTAAAGGTAGGTTTATTTGAACAGTGAGAGACAGAACAACAACACAAAAATCCAGAAAAACGCATGTCAAAAATGTTATAAATTGATTTGCATTTTAATGAGGGAAATAAGTATTTGACCCCTCTGCAAAACATGACTTAGTACTTGGTGGCAAAACCCTTGTTGGCTATCACAGAGGTCAGACGTTTCTTGTAGTTGGCCACCAGGTTTGCACACATCTCAGGAGGGATTTTGTTCCACTCCTCTTTGCAGATCTTCTCCAAGTCATTAAGGTTTCGAGGCTGACGTTTGGCAACTCGAACCTTCAGCTCCCTCCACAGATTTTCTATGGGATTAAGGTCTGGAGACTGGCTAGGCCACTCCAGGACCTTAATGTGCTTCTTCTTGAGCCACTCCTTTGTTGCCTTGGCCGTGTGTTTTGGGTCATTGTCATGCTGGAATACCCATCCACGACCCATTTTCAATGCCCTGGCTGAGGGAAGGAGGTTCTCACCCAAGATTTGACGGTACATGGTCCCGTCCATCGTCCCTTCGATGCGGTGAAGTTGTCCTGTCCCCTTAGCAGAAAAACACCCCCAAAGCATAATGTTTCCACCTCCATGTTTGACGGTGGGGATGGTGTTCTTGGGGTGATAGGCAGCATTCCTCCTCCTCCAAACACAGCGAGTTGAGTTGATGCCAAAGAGCTCGATTTTGGTCTCATCTGACCACAACACTTTCACCCAGTTCTCCTCTGAATCATGCAGATGTTCATTGGCAAACTTCAGACGGCTCTGTATATGTGCTTTCTTGAGCAGGGGGACCTTGCGGGCGCTGCAGGATTTCAGTCCTTCACGGCGTAGTGTGTTACCAATTGTTTTCTTGGTGACTTTGGTCCCAGCTGCCTTGAGATCATTGACAAGATCTTCCCGTGTAGTTCTGGGCTGACTCCTCACCGTTCTCATGATCATTGCAACTCCATGAGGTGAGATCTTGCATGGAGCCCCAGGCCGAGGGAGATTGACAGTTATTTTGGGTCTCTTCCATTTGCGAATAATCGCACCAACTGTTGTCACCTTCTCACCAAGCTGCTTGGCGGTGGTCTTGTAGCCCATTCCAGCCTTGTGTAGGTCTACAATCTTGTCCCTGACATCCTTGGAGAGCTCTTTGGTCTTGGCCATGGAGGAGAGTTTGGAATCTGATTGATTGATTGCTTCTGTGGACAGGTGTCTTTTATACAGGTAACAAACTGAGATTAGGAGCATTCCCTTTAAGAGTGTGCTCCTAATCTCAGCTTGTTACCTGTATAAAAGACAACTGGGAGCCAGAAATCTTTCTGATTGAGAGGGGGTCAAATACTTATTTCCCTCATTAAAATGCAAATCAATTTATAACATTTTTGACATGCGTTTTTCTGGATTTTTTTTGTTGTTATTCTGTCTCTCACTGTTCAAATAAACCTACCATTAAAATTATATACTGATAATTTCTTTGTCAGTGGGCAAACGTACAAAATCAGCAGGGGATCAAATACTTTTTCCCCCTTATACAGTATCTCACAAAAGTGAGTACACCCCTCACATTTTTGTAAATATTTGAGTATATCTTTTCATGTGACAACACTGAAGAAATGACACTTTGCTACAATGTAAAGTAGTGAGTGTACAGCTTGTATAACAGTGTAAATTTGCTGTCCCCTCAAAATAACTCAACACACAGCCATTAATGTCTAAACCGCTGGCAACAAAAGTGAGTACACCCCTAAGTGAAAATGTCCAAATTCGGCCCAATTAGCCATTTTCCCTCCCCGGTGTCATGTGACTCGTTAGTGTTACAAGGTCTCAGGTGTGAATGGGGAACAGGTGTGTTAAATTTGGTGTCATCGCTCTCACACTCCCTCATACTGGTCACTGGAAGTTCAACATGGCACCTCATGGCAAAGAACTCTCTGAGGATCTGAAAAAAAGAATTGTTGCGCTACATAAAGATGGCCTGGGCTATAAGAAGATTGCCAAGACCCTGAAACTGAGCTGCAGCACGGTGGCCAAGACCATACAGCGGTTTAACAGGACAGGTTCCACTCAGAACAGGCCTCGCCATGGTCGACCAAAGAAGTTGAGTGCACGTGCTCAGCGTCATATCCAGAGGTTGTTTTTTGGAAATAGAGGTATGAGTGCTGCCAGCATTGCTGCAGAGGTTGAAGGGGTGGGGGGGTCAGCCTGTCAATGCTCAGACCATACGCCGCACACTGCATCAAATTGGTCTGCATGGCTGTCGTCCCAGAAGGAAGCCTCTTCTAAAGATGATGCACAAGAAAGCCCGCAAACAGTTTGCTGAAGACAAGCAGACTAAGGACATGGATTACTGGAACCATGTCCTGTGGTCTGATGAGACCAAGATAAACTTATTTGGTTCAGATGGTGTCAAGCGTGTGTGGCGGCAACCAGGTGAGGAGTACAAAGACAAGTGTGTCTTGCCTACAGTCAAGCATGGTGGTGGGAGTGTCATTGTCTGGGGCTGCATGAGTGCTGCCGGCACTGGGGGGCTACAGTTCATTGAGGGAGCCATGAATGCCAACATGTACTGTGACATACTGAAGCAGAGCATGATCCCCTCCCTTCGGAGACTGGGCCGCAGGGCAGTATTCCAACATGATAACAACCCCAAACACACCTCCAAGACGACCACTGCCTTGCTAAAGAAGCTGAGGGTAAAGGTGATGGACTGGCCAAGCATGTCTCCAGACCTAAACCCTATTGAGCATCTGTGGGGCATCCTCAAACGGAAGGTGGAGGAGTGCAAGGTCTCTAACATCCACCAGCTCCGTGATGTCGTCATGGAGGAGTGGAAGAGGACTCCAGTGGCAACCTGTGAAGCTCTGGTGAACTCCATGCCCAAGAGGGTTAAGGCAGTGCTGGAAAATGGTGGTGGCCACACAAAATATTGACACTTTGGGCCCAATTTGGACATTTTCACTTAGGGGTGTACTCACTTTTGTTGCCAGCGGTTTAGACATTAATGGCTGTGTGTTGTGTTATTTTGAGGGGACAGCAAATTTACACTGTTATACAAGCTGTACACACTACTTTACATTATAGCAAAGTGTCATTTCTTCAGTGTTGTCACATGAAAATATATACTCAAATATTTACAAAAATGTGAGGGGTGTACTCACTTTTGTGAGATACTGTATATATATATATATATATATATATATATATAAATAATCGCCCATAATAATATTGCAATATGTAACTGTATCGATTTCTTCCCCCATCACTACTATGTAGTGAAATACAGTCTCCCAGTCCTACTCACCAGGTCTTGGAGCCGGTGAGGGTGAAGGTGCGGCTGGAGGGGTTGAACTTGGCCCGGGTCTCCATTCCACCGGGGTCACTGCCGTGGTTGGGCTCAGTCAACCCAAAACAGCCCAGGATCTCTCCACGAGCTGGGAGGTAGAGGATGCATTACAGGACAAATACACCCAGATATAAACAGGATTGTGCTTCATTTAAGATGAGGCCTAGGGGATGTGGATGTCCCCTCCTCCTTACCCAGCCTGGGCAGCCACTTCTCCTTCTGCTCTTCGGTACCATATGCGTAGATAGGGTGCATGACCAGGGAGGACTGCACACTCATGACAGAGCGGTAGCCGCTGTCCACCCTCTCCACTTCCCTTGCGATCAAACCGTAGGCCACATAGCTCGTCCCAGCACAGCCATAGCCTGGTCAAAGTGTGGAGGGAGAGAGGTCACATCATAGGCAATAACCTCCAAACAAACAGTAGGCCTATATTAAAAGGGAATTAAGTGAATTTACATTATCTATCCAGTTATCTAATTTACATGATCTATATTTGAGTGTTTCTGGCATCACACATATAGTTGATTCTGAAAAACAAATAGTCTTTAACTGTCTGTGATCAAAATGATCAGTCAATTTCACAGAAAACAAAATCACTCTTAGAAAGCTTTCAGAGAATGATATAACCCCCGGGGGGCTTACAGGTACATTATCCATTTCAAATCATACGTTTATAAAACATGTACCTGTAGGCTGCCACTCAAAAGAAAAGTAAGAAATACATCCCCTTCCCGTCCCGCTCATCAGTTTACAGTCAAGTACATTTGTCCAAGCCTCAATTGTTATTTGACTAGCACCATTCATTCTAGCTGTCGATAATTCTAATGTTATAACTTCTAATAGTAACTGTATCCACTGGCGAATTGGGAGAGTGAGGTGATTGCCATCTAAGAGCCAGTAATCGTCTCTGATTGATTAAGATTCAAGGAGCTATCATCGTTAGGTAACATAATATATGCAAAGCATTTAATATTTACATTAATGCACTTCGCACTTGTACCTTTGCCCCAGAAGCATTTAACTGCAGGGCACTCCCACAGCATATGGTGTTGGGGCCAATTTCATCGTAAAACGTTCCCTTGGAGTTAAATGCAGTCTGTGAACAAACTTTTGATGGTTCGGATTACGGGATGCCATATTTTTCCATATTCTGTTCCAGTTAAAGGGTTGTTCAGATTCAACAAGATCTGTGAACCAAACTTTTTTTAATAGCTAGCTCAGAATATGAGTTTTCCAAAAGTTGTTTATATATTATAGAGATCAGTCTTTTTGGGAGCCCAGATAATTTATTTATAAATCCCATCATTGGATGGTTTGGTAGTTGGGTTTCCCAAGGGACTCCATAGGCCAGCATAGCTGACCTAAGTTGTAAATATAGAAACAAGGATTTACCTGGTAATGTGTAATGTATGTCTTTCAAATCTTGGAATGTTCTTAAACCATTACTGTCCATGATATCGGCAAGGCCGCCCTCCAGATCGCAAAGGTATTGACTCACCTTTAATGGTTGGGCCCAGGACACCCAGCTCCCCCATCTCTGACACAATGTCCCGATGGAACACTAAGCGAGACAAAACAGGCAGCATGTTATGATGACACGGTTTGCATAACTGCCAAAATTCATAATATTGACATTCCATCTTAAAGGGCAAAACTGATCCTTAAGGGTTCCTTCCTAGGTTATTGGCATAAATAGCCCAATGGGCCCTGCCTGGGTGATGGTGTGTCTCAAGAGTCAGACCCACCTTCGTTTCTGTTGGCCATCAGAATGCGGGGCATGAGTTTGTCCTGACAGTAGTCACGGAACGAGTCTCGGATCATGATCTCTTCCTCAGTCAGCTGACCCTCCAGCTCCAGGCCATCCCGCCAGTTAAACTGAACCTTGGCTGGTGGTTCAGTAGAGGGATCATAGAGCAGAGAAGCACAATTGAATAGTCATCAGACCCCAAAAATAATAGAAGGGCAATATATGTATGACTGATCTGAAATGGAGTTGATATCGACATACGTGCTTTAGTCTTCTTCTCACTAGCTTTCTCTGCATCTGTGGAAACAAGGTTACACTTGAAGGACAGATTGAGTACTTCCCCTGACAAAGAGTTGCACCCCTTCTCAAAAAACCAACACTCGATCCCTCTGATGTCAACAACTACAGACCAGTATCCCTTCTTTCTTTTCTCTCAAACTCTTGAGCGTGCCGTCTTTAGCCTACTCTCTAAGCTATCTCTCTCAGAATGACCTTCTTGATCCAAACCAGTCAGGTTTCAAGACTGGTCATTCAACTGAGACTGCTCTTCTCTGTGTCACGGAGGCTCTCTGCACTGCTAAAGCTAACTCTCTCCTCTGCTCTTGTCCTTCTAGACCTGTCTGCTGCCTTTGATACTGTGAACCATCAGATCCTCCTCTCCACCCTCTCCGATCTGGGCATCTCCGGCGCGGCTCACTCTTGGATTGCGTCCTACCTGACCGGTCGCTCCTACCAAGTGGCGTGGCGAGAATCTGTCTCCGCACCACGTGCTCTCACCACTGGTGTCCCCCAGGGCTCAGTTCTAGGCCCTCTCCTATTCTCGCTATACACCAAGTCACTTGGCTCTGTCATATCCTCACATGGCCTCTCCTATCATTGGTACGTAGACAACACACAACTAATCTTCTCCTTTCCCCCGTCTGATAATCAGGTGGCGAATCGCATCTCTGCATGTCTGGCAGACATATCAGTGTGGATGACGGATCACCACCTCAAGCTGAACCTCGGCAAGACGGAGCTGCTCTTCCTCCCGGGGAAGGACTGCCCGTTCCATGATCTCGCCATCACGGTTGACAACTCCGTTGTGTCCTCCTCCCAGAGTGTGAAGAGCCTTGGCATGACCCTGGACAACACCCTGTCGTTCTCCGCTAACATCAAGGCGGTGACCCGATCCTGTAGGTTCATGCTCTACAACATTCGGAGAGTACGACCCTGCCTTACACAGGAAGCGGCACAGGTCCTAATCCAGGCACTTGTCATCTCCCGTCTGGATTACTGCAACTCGCTGTTGGCTGGGCTCCCTGCCTGTGCCATTAAACCCCTACAACTCATCCAGAATGCCGCAGCCCGTCTGGTGTTCAACCTTCCCAAGTTCTCTCACGTCACCCCGCTCCTCCGCACACTCCACTGGCTTCCAGTTGAAGCTCGCATCTGCTACAAGACCATGGTGCTTGCCTACGGAGCTGTGAGGGGAACGGCACCTCCGTACCTTCAGGCTCTGATCAGTCCCTACACCCAAACGAGGGCATTGCATTCATCCACCTCTGGCCTGCTGGCCCCCCTACCTCTGCGGAAGCACAGTTCCCGCTCAGCCCAGTCAAAACTGTTCGCTGCTCTGGCACCCCAATGGTGCAACAAGCTCCCTCACGACGCCAGGACAGCGGAGTCACTCACCACCTTCCGGAGACACTTGAAACCCCACCTCTTTAAGGAATACCTGGGATAGGATAAAGTAATCCTTCTACCCCCCTTACCCCCCCACCAAAAAAATACATATTGTAAAGTGGTTATCCCACTGGCTATAAGGTGAATGCACCAATTTGTAAGTCTCTCTGGATAAGAGCGTCTGCTAAATGACGTAAATGTAAATAGAGGCATGATGATTGTAAGAATGGCTTTGTAAAACTGCTACCATTGTGTTCTCATGATGGCAAGGTCATTATTGGGTAATGTTATACCCTTTTGTGCAGGCGCTGCTGATCCCTGTGATCTTGATGCTGAAATGATGGCGCATCTCTGGGGGTTGACCAGCAGACGGCACACAGCGCTTCTCAGTGCCATGATTGGTAGATAGATTTCTATGAGAGAAAAACAAGGAGGAAAACATTTAGGAGCAAATAATCCATAAAACAATGCAACAAACCCTAATAGTTGTCATTTCAAAGACATGATAGGTTATAACTTTCAACAACCATGTCATTTGTGTATATCAATGATGTCGCTCTTGCTGCTGGTGATTCTCAGATCCACCTCTACGCAGACGACACATTTTGTATACATCTGGCCCTTCATTGGACACTGTGTTAACAAACCTCCAAACGAGCTTCAATGCCATACAACACTCCTTCCGTAGCCTCCAACTGCTCTTAAACACAAGTAAAACTAAATGCATGCTCTTCAATCGAACGCTGCTGGCGCCCACCCGACTAGAATCACTACTCCCGACAGGTCTGACCTAGAGTATGTGGACAACTACAAATACCTAGGTGTCTGGTTAGACTGTAAACTCTCCTTCCAGACTCACATTAAGCATCTCCAATCCAAAGTTAAATCTAGAATCGGCTTCCTATTTCGCAACAATGCCTCCTTCACTCATGCTGCCAAACATGCCCTCGTAAAACTAACTATCCTACCGATCCTTGACTTCGGCGATGTCATTTACAAAATAGCCTCCAACACTCTACTCAGCAAATTGGATGTAGTCTATCACAGTGCCATCCGTTTTGTCACCAAAGCCCCATATACTACCCACCACTGTGACCTGTACGGTCTTGTTGGCTGGTCCTCACTACATATTCGTCGCCAAACCCACTGGCTCCAGGCCATCTATAAATCACTGCTAGGCAAATCCCCGCCTTATCTTAGCTCATTGGTCACCATAGCAACACCCACCCGTAGTATGCGCTCCAGCAGGTATATCTCACTGGTCATCCCCAAAGCTAACACCTCCTTTGGCCGCCATTCCTTCCAGTTCTCTGCTGCCAATGACTGGAACAAACTGCAAAAATCTCTGAAGCTGGAGACTCTTATCTCCCTCACTAACTTTAAGCATCAGTTGTCAGAGCACCTTACCGATCACTGCACCTGTACACAGCCCATCTGAAATTCAAATAAAATCAAATCAAATGTTATTGGCCACATGCGCCGAATACAACAGGTGTAGTAGACATTACAGTGAAATGCTTACTTACAGCCCTTAACAAACAATGCATTTATTTTTTAATAAAAAAAGTGTTGAGAAAAAAAGAGCAGAAGTAAAATAAAATAACAGTAGGGAGGCTATATATACAGGGGGGGTACTGGTGCAGAGTCAATGTGCGGGGGCACCGGCTAGTTGAGGTAATATGTACATGTGGGTAGAGTTAAAGTGACTATGCATTAATAATTAACATAAATTAGCCCACACAACTACCTCATCCCCATGTTGTTATTTATTTTGCTTATTTGCACCCCAGTATCTCTATTTGCACATCATCTCTATCATTCCAGCGTTAATACTAATTGTAATTATTTTGCACTATGGCCTATTTATTGCCTTACCTCCATAACTTGCTACATTTGCACACACTGTATATATATTTTCTGTTGTATTTTTGACTTTGTTTGTTTTACCCCATATGTAACTCTGTGTTGTTGTTTTTATCGCACTGCTTTGCTTTATCTTGGCCAGGTCGCAATTGTAAATGAGAACTTGTTCTCAACTGGCTTACCTGGTTAAATAAAGGTGAAATAAATAAATAAAAGAAATACAATTGAGAGAGAAGGTGGCTCAACCAGAGAAAGCAACTAGCAATTTGACCTCATGTAGCTGTATAGGATAGTTTGAGAGGTGAAATAAGTCATGATTAGTTTCGAGAATGTTGAAAGAACGATGTGGTGGTAGGCAGACAAGTTGTTACAAAAGATAACATTAGCATTAGCTAGTAGCTATGCTAACTCTTTATAGCTAGCTAAATGTCGATCTGCAGGCAACTGAAATTACAGCAATTAACTCAACTCAGTGTGTGTTGGCCACGTTAGTTGAGGTTAAAATGTTAGTTGCGATAACTAAAAAAGCTAGCTAGCTAGCTATTTAGCTAGTTGCTACATGCAGATAAATTAATACTATTAGCTAGCTTGATAGCCAGTCAGTCAGTCAGTCTTGCTCGACTATCAAGCTGGAAAAGCATAGTATCGAGTTTGTTTACAGACTAGACACGAGCCCAGGCTTACTGTTTCATCAATGTCCCAAAGATGTTGGCTAATTTCAATACATAGACTGACCTGTAATTTACAGTGCTGGAGATAAGTGACCCAGTGCTCCGTAGTTCTTCCCAGATTGACAAGGTAAAAGAGGACAAACGTCAACACAGGCACCTGCGTAAAGTAGGTCAGGAATGGTTAGGTTCTGTCGCCATTTTGAGTGTGGCAAATGGAGGTTAATCCACATTTAGAATGATAAAATAACATTTTCATGGAATGTCTGAAACCAAATGTAACTGATAGTGGGAAGTAAATTACTATGAACTGATAGTGGAAAGTAAATTACTATGAACATCTAATACATTTTTTGTTGTTGTGCAAAAGCATTGTTAGTTTAGTTTTTCTCTTTTCATCACTCACTATGGTTGCTTTCTAGTGTCTCTCCATGCTGTCGCGTAATGTTTTACTAATCTCTGATAGGTTAATTAATGGGGGCGTGCAGATTCAAGGCGTGGCTATGAGAGGGTTTTGTTCATGCATTGACCTCATGTTCATAACTATTTTCAGAACATATTGACAGTGGTGGAGAAAGTACCCAATTGTCATACTTGAGTAAATGTAAAGATACCTTAATAGAAAATGACTCAAGTAAAAGTGAAAGTCACCCAGTAAAATAGTACTTGGGTAAAAAATATTTGGTTTTAAATATACTTAAGTATCAAAAGTAAAAGTATCAATCATTTCAAATTCCTTATATTAAGCAAACCAGATGGCACAATGTTCTTGTTGTTTTTTTATTGGTGGATAGCCAGGGGCACACTCCAACACTCAGAAATGATTTACAAACTAAGCATTTGTGTTTAGTGAGTCCCCCAGATCAGAGGCAGCAGGGATGACCAGGTATGTTCTCTTGATAAGTGCGTGAATTGGACCATTTTCCTTTCCTGCTAAGCATTCAAAATGTAACGAGTACTTTTGGGTGTCAGGGAAAATGTATGGAGTAAAAAGTATATTGTTTTATTTAGGAATGTATTGAAGTAAAAGTAAAAGTAGTCAAAAATATGAATAGTTGTTATGTGAATTATTTAACAAACTATTTCATTTTCTCTGTGCGTCTCCCAAAAGGTTGTAAGTCTTTTAGGATTTAAGTAACGGCCAGAGTCCCGGTCTGCATAGTCAGAGATATTTATTCATTGAGAATTCTGCCATCACAATTTCAGAGTCCATCTTTTATACTCATACGTCATACAAAAATAAATCCCTCCCCTCTGTAGGTGGGCTGTAGTTTTGCACTCTAAAACTGCTCTACTGACCTTCAGTTCACACACACACACACATATACACACATGCATACACACATACATACACACACACACACATATCCTACTCCCTGCTTTACTCAGTTATTGCCGTTCTCACAATATTCTGCACCATGTTTTCATAACAGTTTCTCCCCTCCCTAAATTGGGAGGCCTCTTTATCTTAGTTTCTCAGTTGTCTTTGTTGTCTGGCCTAACTCTTACTCACATTGCTAAATAGTGGCTCAATGCCATAGCCTTTACTGGTCCTACACTCACACATTTCTAACACATTATACACAGTTTCAGGGTGTAATAATTAGTCATTAATAATTAATCTATCAATTCCACCCTTTGACTAAATATTACACACATACAAAATATATGTTGTTATAGAAATTGAATCACACTCATTGAAGTATATAAGTTGGTTTGCATATAAAAACATTACAGGTTCATCAGTGTTACCCCATGATTAAAAGCGTAACGTTACTTTTTAGCAATGGTAACTAGTACATCATACTTAAAACGAGACTTTAATACACAAAAGATCATTACAATAACTTTTAAACTAGAGATTTATAGTTCTAGGAAAACATCCAGTCTCAAACTATCTGGATCGTCGTCGTCCTCCACCAAGCCTGGTAGGTCATATCCTTAATTCCTTAGGTCGGAGTCCGGGATTGGGCCGTATCTCACCATCTGTTGGGAAACCGCCTTGCTCACCAACCCTCAGACACAGGAAATAAGACAACATCCACAAAGAACAAGTATACCCATAGAAGCTATAACTTCACCCAGAATAGTTACAACAATAGTTTTCCATTTACCAAATATGTTATCAAACCTAACCGTTTAGGGAGCTATCAATACCAGAGTTCTCAGCCAGTTCGTTCGCCAGCGTGGTGAGTCCCTGAAGCGCTTTGGTCACGGACCCGTCCGGTGCTGTATTGTTGGGGATGAAAGTACAGCACATAGATCCAAACAGAACACAAACTCCATCCCGCTCAGCCAAAAGCATATCTAAAGCTATTCTATTCTGCCATGTCATTAAGCTAGTTGCCGCTGTCTGCTCAGCTAATCCCTTTATTGCATCACGAGTGTGGTTTATAAATCTTTACTGGTTATAGTACATATAATTTATCCAACCTACGCTTTTATTAATTGTTGACCACCAGAAAATACTTGATTCAAACCCAGCTGCGATTTGATTCCTAACTTTGAATTCTTCTGGAACCCCTCGAGGTACTCCTATCCCATCAATATATATCCTTTCATCAAAGGATCCCGGGAGGAGGTCCCACTTTCTACGTGACAACTCACCAATCTCTGACACGTTTGATTGTTTGCGTATGTAGGTGAGTTCACAATCTGTTATCACCACACAACCATCAGATGTCAGCACGGGCCTGGTTTTGGTTCCTAAAATCCTCTGGCTGCAACAAAGAGGAGAGATTAGTCATGGTCTCTTTAGTTGTGACATTCTCTGTGTGGGAGCAGGAGCTAAGATGCCCAACCCTGTATCCTATCTTACTAGTCCTAGAAAAACAATAAGAATCCCCTGAGACTTCAAACGGAGGC